TTCGAGAATTGTTCTGTTAAGTCTTTCGGCAACACCATTTTGCTGAGGTGTTTTAACTAGAGTTTTGTGTCTTCCGATTCCATGTGAGGAACAAAATTCATTAAACTCATTTTCACAGAATTCCAATCCATTGTCAGTTCTAAGCTTCTTAACTTTCCTTCCTGATTGAGTTTCAACTAGCACTTTCCACTTTTTAAATGCAGAAAAGGCTTCATTTTTGTGCCGTAAGAAATAAACCCAAACTTTACGAGAGAAATCATCAATAATTGTCATCATGTATCTACGACCTCCTATGGAAGGAAATTTAGAGGGTCCCCATAAATCTGAGTGAATATAATCAAGCACCCCATTGGAACTATGGGAAGCAGGAGAGAAACTGACCTTTTTCTTCTTCCCGAAGATACAATGTTCACAAAAGTCAAGTTTCCCAAAATTTTGGTTCCCCAATAGTCCTCTCTTGCTTAGAACTGTCATTGGCTTTTCACCCATATGTCCTAGCCGCATATGCCATAATTGAGTATTATGCGAATCAAGCAGCGAGGTAGAAATATCTGCTGAACCTGTAACAACAGAACCTTGCAGGACATATATCATACCAATGCGGTTAGCTTTCATCAGAACAAGAGAACCTCTAGATACCTTAAGAACTCCACCTTCAGCTCCATATCTGCACCCAAGAGACTCGAGGGTGCCTAAAGAAATAAGATTTCGCTTCATGTCAGGAACATAGCGAACATCAGAAAGAGTTCTGACAACCCCATCATGAAGACGCATTTCAATTGTACCAATACCAAGAACTTTGCAAGGATCATCATTTCCCATTAGCACAACACCAGAATTAACAGGTTTAAGTGTTTTGAACCAGTTCTTATTGGGACAAATATGAAAAGTGCATGCAGAATCAAGAACCCAAACATCCGAATTACTGCCATCGTAAGAAGAAATTGTTGCCAAACCTTCACCATCAGAATCGTCATTGACGATACTAGCTTCTCCGGCTTCAGAAGCCTTTTGAGATTGCTTTTTCTTTTCTTCTTTGGCCTTTAATTTGAAACAATTTGAAATTTCATGACCAGTTTTGCGACAATAGCGACAGTACTTCCCATCATCAGATTTTCGACCATTTGACTTGGATCGAGCTTTACCTTTACCTTTGCTTGATTCCCCTTTTTCCTTGGATCTTCCTCTTATAAATAGACCTTCACCTTTGTCATTAGAACTGGACTCAAAGTCAAATTTTTCTTTTGACAGTAAGTTAGATTTTACATCTTCATAAGACAAAGTATCCATATTTCCATAGAGCATGATCTCTTTAAAGTGTTTAAAGGACTGGGGCAATGAGCATATTAATAAAACAGCTTTATCCTCATCTTCGATTTTCACGTCAATATTTTCCAAGTCCATAACAATGGAATTGAAGGTAGAAAGATGGGTTTGAATTGGAGTAGCTTCGGCCATACGAGTAGTGTACAACTTCTCTTTTAGACGAAGCTTGTTAGCGAGACTTTTCGTCATGTAAAGTGACTCTAATTTTGTCCAAAGTCCAATTGCAGTTGTCTCACTCACCACCTCCTGCAAAACCGATTTTGACAGGCATAATTGAATAGCAGTAAGAGCCTTTTCATCGAGCTCTTCCCATTGGACATCAGTCAAGGTCTCTGGTTTGGCTTCGAGACCAAGTAAAGCCTTTTGAACACCATTTTGTGTCAAAATTGCCTTCATTTGAATTCTCCATATCGAGAATGATATCTTGCCATCAAACTTCTCAATGTCAAACTTTGCAGTCATCTTGTCGAGGATTTCAATTGGTTGTCAAGTGCTCTGATACCACTTGTTGTCTTTTAAAGACTTTTGAACCTGGATATAAATGAGCACTAGCGGAAGCAAACCCAATATGAAATCGAACAAGAAAATAGAGAAGAGAATGAACAAAGACAAGACACCAATTTTACGTGGAAAACCCTCCAAAGAAGAGGGAGAAAAACCACGGACTGGACAAGCCAGTAAATCCACTATGATCAAGGAATAATCTTCAACGTACAAAGTTGTGGAGTAAGTAGAAAACTCCCAACATAAAAGAAAAGTACTCAAGAAGATATTCTACACTTTAGGAGAAGAAAGGAGTTGGATGGAATTGGTGTGTCTATTCAACAACAATAGACTCTCTATTTATAGCCATGCAAAATGGCTTATGAGATGCCAAAGAAAAAGTGAACGGCACTCCCATTAACCAAATGGAAACTCCACACAATTAACTCCATGTGGTAATTAAATTTCATAACCCCAAATAACCTCAAGTGTCTTCCATAACTCCAAATCTTGAAATGAATTTGAGGCATCAATACCAACAGAGCCCGTCGCCATGGCCAGAGTATCGAAACTCGCAGGGTGGTCGAAAGCAACATGGCTCCACTTGGTAGCGTTACACATAGACCATTCGCTGCTCGAATTGTTAGTGTAAAGCTTCCTCTGCCTATTCCTCGACGCAATTGCCTTCCCTTCCTTCAACACATGAGCTATGTAACCGCTGGTCACTAACTCACGGTGGCGGCTGTGAACAGTGAGGGCGAAGGACCGCCGCTCGTCGGCTGCAGGGTAGAACGACACCGACTGCGAGGGGCGAACAGTCTTCGTGGAAGACCACTTGACCTTGACGCCGTGGAACACGTCGGTGACTTCCTCGTAGTCATCCATGGCGAGGAGGACAGAGTCGTTGTTCTCTTTGACGAAGTCGACCTTGAGTCGCCTGGCGGTGGCAGAGGAAATCGCAGCGAGGTAGTTCTGGATGGTGACGTATGCCTCGCTCCGTGTCAGGCGGTCGCCGGTGAACTCCGGGAAGGTAATGTGGATGTAAGGGTAGAAGAAAGCGGCGATCTTTAGAGTGTACAATTCAAGCAAGCGGCTAAGGTGGTAAGGGAAGAATTGCTGGAACATTGTCCACCCTAACATTAGTGCCGCCATTGTTGAACCTATGTTGATGCCGAATAGCTCCATCGTTGAGGGATAGGATGACAAAACAAAGCCTTTTTTTCTTTTTGCTTTTTGGGCTTGGTGATTGAGATTTGAGAACAACATGTTGAAGGAGGTGTTTATACGGGGAAGTCACAGGGAATAGACGGGGAGGAAAACAATGAGAGTAAGTTTGATAGGTTGTTCTCCTTCTCCAGGAAAGGGAATTGTTGTGATGATTGTTACCATGCATTTCAAGCTTCAATGTTCTAACAGTGTGATCTCTGACAAGAAGAAGAAGAAGAAGAAGAAGAAGAAGAGCATTATACCATGCCAGAGATGATGTTAGGTTGCTAACGACTAACTTCAAGGGCCAAGCCTACTACTAGGCAGTTGATAATACGAGATGGGATGTTGCATGAATTTCTTCTCCCAAAATGACATATTGACCAATTTTTCAGTCAACATGGATGCAAAATCAAACACCATTCTACATTAATGCAAAAGTTTGAAGTTTATTGGGCAATGTCTATTTTTTACCCAAATCTTTTTCAGATTCTTTTATTTTAACCAAACCTATAGAAATTCTATTTATTATCCAAACGTATTATAATTTATCAAAGTCTGGGCATTCATTCTGTTACCGTTACTTATTTTGTCCACGTGAGATGTGGGATTTTGTTTTGTTTTTTGATAATCTTTTTATTAAAAATAGTAAACGATGGTATTCTGACCGCCACGTAGGAAGTCAACTCATTATGGTCATACTTAGTCAGCATTACTAACAGAAAAGTTGACGGAGAATTAACGTTTGGATAATTTTTAGGAATTCAATAGGTTTGGTTAAAATAAAAGAATCTGAAAAAGGTTTGGGTAAAAAATAGACATTGCCCTTTATATTATTATGTAGACTAAAACATTTTTAAGATGGATTATTATTCAAAGTGTTTGGTGTAAGTATCAACGAGATGTCAATCGTGAAAGGTGGTTCCACAATGGTGATGAACAAATATATGTTATTTATTGTTATATGGTTGTGAGTGTGTTGGTTTCAGTTGTATAATTATTTGGAGTCCTTTGAATGAAAAGAATATTGACCTCTAGTGGAATGTTGAAATATGTGGAATTTAGAACCACGAAATGTGAATAGATGAAACCATTAAAACATTATTGTTTGACATATAATTTTAGACAATATGTCGTGTTAAATTTTCATTTTCAACGATGGAATTGATAAATCTTAGCTTGTAGAATAGAGATGAAAGAATCGAGGGTTAAAGAATTAGAAATTCATTTCATTTAAGTTGTCGCTTTTATTTATAATGAAGGAAAACTCTGTTTTATATTTATTCCTTCACTTGTCAGCTGATGAGAGGTTGATTCCTCCACCCCTTGTTTTAAGACTACAATCTAGTTAACTAATCAAGGATCGATACAAGTTTTTGCATTTATACTTTGATACTTTTTGTATTCGATCGTAAGCTCTAATTAAGCTAGTTTTTATTGTGAGAAAAATTATCTCCTAAATGACTTTGACCGATAAATATGCCTAACTTATCCTTGAGTTAATTAACAAATTGGTACTCCAAGAGTAAAACATTATTGAATAATTTCTTGCTTCGAATTAAAGACAAATTTTTTTTTCAGGGCAAGCTCAAAGGACACAGGACAAAGACTCGACTCAAGACTCAATAACAAGATTAAAACAGAAAAACCGCGGTAGTTTGTAAGAAAATAAACTATCGATGAAAGAGCCTGTAATGAATGCAATAATGAATTAATAATCCTATTGCACTATATTTATCATGTTTTGACCAAACTGGACATTGCACACCCTCTATCCTTGAGAAAATTAAACTTCGACGATGTGAGGGGTCACATTGAACGTCAAATTCTATAATTTTTAACGACTATGTGGACAGGGAAGAAACAACATTCAAGGCCTTGTTTAGTAAAACATAAAGTTTACACGCTTTACTTGAGAAAAGTATCAAAGTTTGAGGACCAATGCTTGTATTAATCCAATCATCAGTTAGCCCATCTCGATCCAACTACTTCTTCTGCTGCGGGGTCATATCGCTGGTTCCCGCTTGGAATGGATTTTATCTTCTGAGTTCTGACCCTTCCATCTCTCTGTTCTCCGTCCCCTTCTCTACCAGAACTGGCTCGCTCATCCGCCGCCGCCTCCGCCGACGTGAAGTGAAGGGAATTGAAGGTGTCGTAACTCTAACCACTTTACCCTCAATGCAATCTTCGTTTTATTTTCCGTTCCAGAACGATAGAATTCCGCTTTCATCCCCAAATTTCGGTTTTCCATTCTAGAGTCTTAATAGGAATATCTCTGGTTTGGAATTGACATGGTACAGGTATAGGGAGCTTTGGGGGGGGACGACAATGGCAAGTTCGATAGCAGCCGCTACTGGGACGGCGTCATGGATGAGGATGGGCAGCAGGGTAATCCCTGATTTCTGCCACCTGCCCCTCCATTCCGCTACTCGATCCCCTCTTCTGAAACCTCTTGCCTTGCGATTCTCTTCATTTGCTCCTTCCCCCTCTCGGTCGTGGAGCGCGAGGAAGTTCTCTGTTTGTGCCTCCAAGTCCACTGCTGATCAACACCAGCAAGTCCGGGTTCGTTTCGCTCCTTCCCCGACTGGGAATCTCCATGTTGGTGGTGCTCGGACTGCTCTCTTCAATTATCTCTTTGCAAGGTTTTGCGCTCTGCCCCCTCACTCCACATTTCGTGCATCGTTACTTTCTTGTCATAGTTACATTAGAAACTTCTCCATCCAGGTCCAAAGGTGGTAAATTTGTGCTGAGGATTGAAGATACCGACTTGGAGAGGTCGACTAGAGAATCAGAAGATGCCGTGCTCCAGGATCTTGCTTGGCTTGGTCTTGATTGGGATGAAGGTCTCTTTCAACTCCTTTCATTCATTCTTTCCCAGTGCCACTTGATGAAATGACCAATTTTAGATAATTCAACTTCAAATAGGAACTTCCCAGTTATGAAAGTTTGTGGCTTACTGTGATCTGCAGTTTCCTAAAGAAGGCAGTTATTTTCTATGTGCATTACATGTTAGCAGCTGAATTATGCATTAGAAATCATCACCTTACATGTGCATACCTGTTAGACTTACCTGAAATGACTTGATTTCCATGATTATGATTCTGAAAGTTTCTCTTGTGTGTTGTTGTGGTCTAAGGTCCTGGGATTGATGGAGACTATGGCCCGTATCGGCAATCTGAAAGGAATTCTCTTTATAAACAACACGCTGAGAGGCTCTTGGAGTCTGGTCATGTTTACCGTTGCTTCTGTTCCAGTGAGGTAGTATTGTCTTCAAGCCATGACTTGCATTCATCTGCCTTTTTATTAGTAATGAATTTGTCTCCCATAAATTTCACATGAGAAGTGATCCTCTACAAAAGAGGAAAAACCAGAGTTTGGTAATACTAAAGAAGGTTGATAAGAAATCGAAATGGTATTGCTTGTTGGGCTTTGTTTAGCTAAACAAAGTCCAGAGCTGTTATATTCTTTCTTTGGACTTGTTAAGTTTGAAGATAGCTAAGTATTTTCCTAAATCCTCCTACGAGTTCTTCTTATGTAGCTGGTTTATTTGATGCTGAGGTTATATAAATCATTGGCTGATCTTAGGGCGTTTTTCTGACCCAAAATCTGGTGTCACATTCTTTCCAGGAACTTGAGAAAATGAAGGAAGTAGCACAATTGAAACAACTACCTCCTGTGTACTCTGGAAAGTGGGCTACTGCAACAGATGTTGAAGTAATGCATGAGATGGAAAAGGGAACCCCATATACCTACCGATTCCGTGTTCCAAAGCATGGGAATCTGAAAATAAATGATCTCATTCGGGGTGAAGTAAGTTACAATCGACTAGGCATCTACCTCTGCCATTTCCATCCTATTGCCAACTGGAAAAAGAATTCTATGATTCATTATAATTGGTCAATTTAGCCTGATTGACTTTGTTCTGCATTGGAGAATCTTGCTCAAGAAAAACTTTGTAGTTAGGTTTAAAGTAGTTCTTTTACCCCGAGCTTGATGTTATTGCTGGAACCTGTTCTGAATCCTTTTTTCAACTGACCATCTTGAGTTTTGCCGTTTACGAGTTTCTAAGTATGTTGGATAGTGTTCTGAAGGTTAGTTGGAATCTGGACACACTTGGGGATTTTGTAATCATGAGGAGCAATGGACAACCCGTTTACAACTTTTGTGTCACAGTGGATGATGCTACCATGGCTATCTCACATGTTATTAGGTAACTGACTAGTCACTTGATACTTTGGTAGCGATGATATAAGTACAAACAGACATAAACACAATCTGTTGATTTCATGCTCAACATCTGCATTTCAGGGCTGAAGAGCATTTGCCAAATACTCTAAGGCAAGCATTAATATATCAGGTATTGATGTTCATGCTCCCAAAAAAAACTCAGTCACTTGGTCCTTTATTACAGATTGAGGAACTACTTTCATTCTGTTTCAGGCTCTTGGATTTCCGATGCCTCAGTTTGCACACGTATCCCTAATTCTAGCACCTGATCGTAGCAAGCTATCGAAAAGGCATGGTGCAACTTCAGTTGGTCAGGTAGTTAATGAATCCTTGCACATCTTGCTTGGAAAGAATGGTTTTACTTTATTGGAAGTCATTTGGGGTATTGACATTTTTGTCCACAGACTCCTTAAGGTGATTTCTTTCGGGTCTTCTAACATTTATATGACAATTACTTTTTTCACAGTTCAAGGAGATGGGCTACCTTCCCCAAGCAATGATAAATTACCTGGCACTTTTAGGTTGGGGGGATGGCACTGAAAATGAATTTTACAGCCTTGAACAACTAGGTCCGTTCCTTCATCATTTATTGGAATTTTGATGTAAGCTAGTGGATGTAGTTTAACTTCTAATTTCATTTGCAGTTGAAAAGTTCACAATTGATCGTGTTAACAAAAGTGGCGCCGTGTTTGATTCTACTAAGTTGAGGTAACTAAGAATATTCAACCACTGGCTCTGTTTTTGAGTCCATCTAATTATTGGGTTAAGTGGAAAAATTGCATTGTATATTACTGGAATATCTTCTGTAGGCTGTATTTATCCCTTCATGTTGCTTGGTATAGTGCATGTTTAATGCTTCCTTGAGATGGATGGCATATTATAAGGCTACTTAACTGTTACTTTCCTTACCTTACAAAGCATAGTTAACTTTAAATTGGTTTCCTAAAGTTTGTTCTCTCAAATGTATGTGCAAACTAAAGGTGGATGAATGGTCAGCATTTAAAAGCGCTTCCATCTGAGAAATTGACAAAGCTTATAGGTGAACGGTGGAAGAACATTGGAATACTAATGGAGTCCCAGGGTTCTTTTATAGAAGTAAGAATATCTCTGCACCTGTAGGTCCATTCTACTTGTACATTAACTTTACCACACTTGCTACTGAAGCATTACACTTGACAGCTGAATGATAAATTTATTTGAAGTTTAGCCGCTTGTGGCTGTCATTTTCATCTGAATTCTTACTGCTTAAATGTTAAACCTTCTACAAACAGGAGGCTGTTAATCTGCTTAAGGATGGCATAGATTTGGTACCTGATGCAGACAAAGTGATGTTGAATCTGTTGTCATATCCCTTACAAGAGACGTTAATGAGGTGATCCGCAAGCGCAAACCCCTTTTACACACACCGAATTCTCCATACTTAAGTGTTAAAAAAAGTTCTGGTAACAGTATCCTTAGTTAGTATTGACTTACTGGCAACAAAAATGCCCTTTTCTTGTAACCGGAATGGTGCTGATGAATTGTCTTAACTTGCAAGAAAATAAATCAACGCATTATTAAGAAATGATTTCTTATTCAGCTGATGAATTGCCATGTTTGCAGTGCTGAAGGTAAAGCTGTTGTAGAAGACAAACTTTCTGAAGTAGCAGAGAAGCTGTTGGCAGCATTTGACAGCGGGGAGCTTATTACTGCTCTAGAAGGAGGTCATTCCGGGTGGAAGAGTTGGGTGAAGGACTTTGGTAAATCTACAAAGCGCAAGGTAACACCTTTGTGCCTGCCCCCAAGTCTCTAAAACTAATTGAAGCGATTGATTGTAACAGATCTTTTCATTTTGTTTTTCGGTTTTGTGGTGGGCAGGGGAAATCTTTGTTTATGCCGCTGAGGGTGCTGCTAACTGGGAAGCTGCATGGTCCTGACATCGGTGGGAGCATGGTGTTGCTCCATAGAGCTGGGAGTGAGGGTCTAGTGTGCCCTCAAGTTGGATTTTTGAGATTGGAAGAGAGGTTTAAGCTGTTGAGGGAAGTGAACTGGGAGGCGTTATCATCGACCAAAGATGAAGAAGGTGCTGCTGTGGAACCAGCTGCTGCTGGTGTGTCGAACTGAAAGAGTGCTCTTACTGCTGCATACGGCGGTTGCTTTCGGTTTTGTTGGTTAAGAGAGGGTTTTTGACGTTTGATTGAGATTTTTGTTTATAGCCTAGCAATGTAGTTGAGGGGTGTGTTTGTTTCATCATGTTCTTTAGCTTCCAAATGTTTAGGACTATTGGCCATGATTCAAGTGGAATAATTATCTGAACCTTATTATTCGTAACTATATTGTTGAATACTTGGACAATAATAACTATATGGTGGTTATTATTCGAACATGATCGATCAAAGCTTATTTAAACGTCGACGAAATTGATAAATTGTACTCTTTTAAGATGCAACGTGTAGATTACTTGGTGGAAAATGGTCAAATCTTACCAAACGGACTAATGTATAGTGTATACCCTTAATTTGAACAACTAGCACCGGGCCCGGCCCCTTGGCCGGGAAAGTCTAGACAAAAAATATGTTCATATAACATGCTTACAATATAATAGGAAGATACGACATATCACTGAAAAAAGAAATATAATTGTTCAAAGAAGAAAAGAAAAACATACAAAATAATAGGTTTTCAATACTTAAAAATGGCAAATAGTTCAAGATTAGAGTTGTTTTTCCTAAAACATACATAATGAACCCTCAGAAGGAAAGAAAAAGATTGGTCTCTAATAGATTTTAGGAATGAGATCATTTGTAACCCTAATTAATGTCTAACAGATACACCCATATTATTCCTCTTCATAGAAAGTAGAATAAGGATCAGCTGGTTTGGAAGCATGCTAGTCGTAGTCCCCGAAGATGCCTAGAAAATAGTCCGGGTTCTCAAGAGAGCTTCAAACTTAAGGCTGAGTGCAACTAATTTTGAATTACATATGTTTGTCTTTGTCAGTGTTGCTGATACTTTCACTGACTACTTTGATTGGTAAGTTGACCATAAATAATAGGGATATACCTTATTTTGACCTTGAAGTTTGTCGTAAAAGCCAAACTTGACATGAACTTGCAAATAAGACAGTTTTTCAAAATTTTGAAAGAAATGGACAAATTTGGACTGAAATTTATGTTGTTCGTTAATATTAAAAGTTAAAAATTTCTTCATCCATTCAACATACAGTGCTCAGGTGGTTGCGATTGCGATGTGGCTTCCATGTCATAGGGATGATACCTTATTTTGGCATGAACTTGATGTAAAAGACAATTTTGGCTCGAATTTTCAAATAAGATAGGTTTGTTTGCACTTTGAAAGAAATGAACAAATTTGGTCCGAAATTTGGGTTGACCTTTAATATTGACAGTTGTGATAGAGAGGTTTCGGTTGCGATGTGGCTTCCAAGTCATTTATTTATAAAGTCTAAAAAAGTGAATTTTTCAGAAGAAAAAAAGACCACAAAATAGGACCCTTAGTATATCCTAATATTCATATTTACTTGCATAAATCATATTAAAAGGAAAAAGAAATTGATTCAGGCCCCCAAAAATCCCAAAGCACGAAACTATCTCTCTTTGTACCCCTCTCATCAATATTAACGGCAACCTAAATTTTGGGTCAAAGTTATTCATTTCTTTGAAAATTCGTACAAAACTGTCTTATTTGAAAGTGTAGGGCAAAATAGCATATTATACCTATGACGTGAAAGTCACACCACAGTCACCTTAACATTGTATGTTGAGTCATAAAAAAAAGAAATGTTTGACCCTCAATATTAATAACCGACCCAAATTTCGGGTCAAATTTGTTAATTTCTTTCAAATTCGGACAAAACTATCTTATTTGAATGTTCATGCCAAAATTGTTATTTACATCAAAGTTCAACACAAAATAGGATATTATCCCTAAATAATATAGGAGTACTAAAAATATTGGACTAATGAAGTTCAAAATGTTTCAAACAACATACAACCCTGATAAAACTGCAGTCCAACCAACTAACATTTAGAACAAATGACTTTCCAGCAGGATAACACAACTATAAGTATGGGTGGTTCTATCATATTTTGATTAAGAAAATGACATAAGGAAATGATATATAGACCTTGAATGATATCCTCTGAGTATGAAAATGATGTCTAGTGGCCGGAGCTAGGGACATGGTACTATACCTTAAGCCCTTACAGATTAAAATCTAGGTCTTAATTCTATGAAGCTCATATACTAAGATCAATTTTATTAGAAACAATAATCGAAGGTCGTGTTTCATCAAAATACATCAAAAAAATTATGTGCATAATCTTAGTGTTTAGGGCAAGGATTGAAAACCCTTAACGTACCGGGGGTTCGACTAAACCAGTAGGCACTATGTAGTGTTGTGAAACGACTGAATCACGGTTAACCACAGTTTTCGCATAAAATACCCTCCTGCCGACTTTTTCGGTACAACCTCTGATGAGGTTTTATAATCCTTGGTTTAGGATCTATGATTTAAATAGTTAAGACCTAGAGTTCACTCGTCAAGGGTTAGAATATAGTGTCTCGTCTCGAAATCAGGTTAATTCAAAGTCTAGATTGCCATTTCTTACCAAGGGTATGAGTTACCTTTTGATTTTACTCAAAATATGATAGAAAACACTACACACACACATACTGGTATACTACAGGAGTATAGTATACTGGTATACTCCAAGAGTATAGTATACTCCACATGATCTAGACATTAGATGTACTTTGTTGAGCTCCAATCAATCTCAATGGTCAATTATAATTTTCCATTAAATTAAACTTTGGGTTTGAGTTTAGAGAATCGGGGCCTGTGGTTTATCCATTAGAGGTTAGGGTAGAGTATCATACCCCAAACTCGGTTAAAAATCATGGTCTAGATAGAGATATCTCACGAAGAGTACCTGAAGTATAATATACTCCAGGAGTACACCAGTCTGACCCATATATGTGTGGTTGTGTGTGCACATATATATTTAATATTGTAATTTGATATGCAATATTCGAATAAATGATATTTGGATTGCGGTTTTAAGATTATCCTCCATTTATAAGATAGACTACCATTATTATTGAAGTCAAAATAAAATAATAATAAATGATAATCAAAGATCCAACACTAAAAATGCTTAAGAAAGACTTAGTGGGGTAGCTAACTGTGCTGGAAAAGTCATTTGATTTTCAGAATTTTGCCTCTTGTATGTTTTTTTTATAAATAAATGCAACAAATTTGTTTAGTCTTATTGGTTATGACTCTTGTCCTTGTTAGAAGAGACCCGGGTTCAAATCTTGACACTAATATTTTTTTCAAATAAAAAAATAAACAATTGCAATGACGAAAGTACCCTTCCTACTTTCACTCTCGTTTGGAAGAAAGTTGAGTCATGAATCTCCATCATATATCTTATAGATGTGAAACGGTGCCGGCTTGCATGTGAAAATTTTTGTTCATCGGAAATGGAACAGACGTAACACTTCAGTCTGTCTTGCGGCGTACCAAAACCCTAAACCCCATTCCTCTGTCGTTAATTCAATCGGTCCGTTCCATTTCTGGCGTCAATCCTAGAAAATTCCAAAATCGCCAATTCAGTTTGTTGACTTCAAGTCGCGGCAACGGCTTGCCCGAAGCTTTCGAGCAGAGGGTGGAGAAGGGGCAGCGGAAGACTGTTTACAGTTGGGAAAGGGGACGACATGGCATACGGTGGTGCGGGCTCGGCGATGACCGCCGGAGCGGCGGCTGCGCCGGCAATAAGGCAAGTGAAATTAGAAAAGGAGAGTGAACTTAGAATTGAAGCCGCCCACGAGACACCGCTTCGATTGAGGCTCCTAAACGGTACAGCTGAAATCTTTGGCACTGAGCTTCCACGTGAAATCTGGCTCACATTCCCTCCCCGCTTGAAGTTCGCTGTAAAATCTCGAATCTTTACTGCAAGTAAATTTGGGAACTGGATTATCCGTTTTCAAGCTCGTTAACTGGGTTTCGTTGATTGATTCTAAAGGTGTTTACTTGGTACGGAGCTACAATTGAGCTGGATGGCGCCACAGAAACCGACTACACAGCTGATGAGGTTTGAATATACTGCATGTTTACTTCTTTAGGCCTTCTGGGTTTCTGTTGAAATTAGCAAATTCAATCCCTGTACTTGGTTTTCCAGACACCTATGGTTAGTTATGTCAATGTGCATGCTATACTTGAGGGGCGAAGGATCCAAGCCAAAGCTTCTTCTTCAGGTGACTCTGAACCCACTCAGGTATACATTCTAATCCACCTTGGTCCGGGCTAGGCCATCTCTGTGTGTTATCAGTTCTTGTAGGCAAATTCCAGAACTATCGTGGCTATCAAATGTCATCATAAGCAACAATGACTACAATTTGATGTCAAGCTTAGGAAGTACTTGCCTTGGTAATGAAGTTATTAGGCTTGGATTGTTGAATTAACTTGTGTTGAATATAGGGTCCTAGGGTGATTGTTGTGGGACCTACGGATTCTGGAAAGAGCTCATTGTCTAGGATGCTGCTCAGTTGGGCAGCCAAACAAGGCTGGAAACCTACTTTCGTCGACTTGGATGTGGGTCAAGGGGCTATTACAATTCCTGGATGCATTGCTGCTACCCCCATAGAGTTGCCTATCGACCCTGTTGAAGGCATTCCCTTGGACATGCCTCTAGTTTATTTTTATGGCCACACAACTCCCAGGTAAATAACGATCTGGCTGTGGCTTATGATTGAATCTCTGTTAGTAATACTGCAATAAGCTGCTCACAACTTTATTCGGTTTGATATGAATTTCCACTGTTGTAGTCAAAATGTGGAGTTATATAGAACACTTGTTAAGGAGCTAGCCGAAGTACTGGAGAAACAATTTACTGGAAATGCTGAATCTCGTGCTGCAGGCATGGTGATCAATACAATGGGATGGATAGAAGGCGTAGGCTATGAGGTAACCGTGGTTTACATGCCGTGAGAGAGTAATACATTTGTTCTCAAAATGCTGATAATTTTCTATCAAGCAAGTGAAACCACTTCAATGTTTTTGTTATTTTCTGCAGCTGCTTCTTCATGCCATCGATACATTTCAAGCAAATGTTGTCTTGGTTTTGGGCCAGGTAGATAATCAGTGCCTTTGGAATTGGCTGCCTATCATCTAGCTCTTTGTCATTTGCTTTTGTTGCTTCCTTTTAGTGTATTTTCAATGACCATAATTAGCCTTCTGCAATTGAACTCAAAGTTCTTAAATTTTGAGTTTTGATGCCTTAAACTTTATGCAGGAAAAACTTTTCAGCATGCTGAGGGATGTGTTAAGGAATAAGCCTAACGTGGATGTAGTCAAACTTCAGAAGTCAGGTGGTGTAGTATCCAGAACTCAGAAACTCCGCCAGAGATCCAGGAGTTTCAGGATCAGGGTAAGCTCACTGGGATTCTGCCAAACATGTTTCCTTATTTCTTCCAAACGCACTACTGAAAAAATAAAGACGTTTATCTTTTCCAGGAATACTATTATGGCATTTCAAATGATCTATCCCCGCACTCCAATATAGCAAACTTCAATGATCTGTTCGTATACCGAGTTGGTGGGGGACCACAAGCCCCGAGATCTGCTCTCCCGATAGGTGCAGACCCAGTTGCCAACCCTCTGAGAGTTGCACCTGTGACTATTGACGGTGATTTGCTCCATGTTGTCCTAGCTGTTTCATATGCACAAGAACCAGATCAAATTGCCTCTAGGTAAATCAATTAAATTCGCAAGAAAGAGTAGTTCTATTTTTTTCTTTTTTCCCAGTCGTGTTTCAGAGATAGTTTGCTTCACTGTTTTGGTTTGCAGTAATGTTGCTGGGTTCATCTACGTGACTGACATTGATCTTCAGAGGTTAGAGCTTTATCTGCTTTCTACTACTTGAAACCTCTGTTATCCAAAGTTCTGGATTATGCCTATATATCTGAAGTGGCATGTACAAACATGTTGCAGGAGGAAAATGACATACCTGTCACCGACTGCTGGTGAGCTACCAAGCAAGTATTTGGTGATGGGAACCCTGACTTGGCTCGAGACATAAAGTGAACCACCTTGGTTTAACTCGGCTGGAGGCCCTCAATACTAACCTTCCTCCATGTCTATGATGAACTCAGGGTGGCACCATTTGTCAGATCTGTGAGTTAGTTGCCAGTCTCCTTTTCTTTTTTATGAATGTGTGGTTTGATGAATGTGAACACTATATGCACGGGACTAAACACTTGTAAGCTTTAGCGAGACGGCATCATGGTGGGATTGGTATTGAATGGTAACAGCTGTGGGTGCGTCCTCATCCATCAATCTGATGATGGATTGGTCATTGTGGCCTGTATGATGGGAAAACTCGAATTACGTTTCTGAAATGACAGATGTGATCCTAAATGCTACGAACTTGTGACATAGTCGATCGAGGTTCCACCTCCTGCTTCTTTGTAACAGCCAAGATAACTACGTCGCAAGTGGTATGCATTGGAAGGCAGTGTAGCTTTTATGTGGACCGACAATTTCATTCATGCGTTTGTCACAAGCACCATGTAATCTCGCCTTAAGAAGACCTTAAGCTTCCAATTGCTATGTAGCATGGTCCACGAAACCGTACCGTACCGGCGGTTTAACTTCGAAATACCAGTATTGGAGGCTAAACCGGTAGGCGGTATTTAACAGTACAACGGTTGAACTACAGTTAAACAACGGTTTTACCATAAAATACCCTATCGCTGACTTTTCCGGTACTGTCTTCGGTACGGTTTCATGGACCATGTTATGTAGGGGACCTTGTGGATGCGTACGACCTAGGCTTGTTCTCTTGCAGATAAGCTGTCGAGGATTGAGGTCATATGGTTAGAAGATGCTGGACGTTTGAGCGGTTCTATGGCATGGTCCATTGGCTAGTCTAAAAGGTCTTACAAGCTCTATTGCGTTGAGGTTGTAGCCAATTTATATTTTCCTTGTGATTTTGAGGTCTTAAAACAAATAAAAGAGTATAACATGATCTCAATTGACTAGATTTCCTAGATGACCTTATTCTTTGGCAAGTTTAAAAGATCTCAGTAGTCTTAGCATCGGGCCAATCTATATTCCTTAGTGATTGTGAAGTTGTAAAACTAAAAAACTGAGTAAAGTATAATTTCTTTTAATTACCTCTATGATAGACACCCTTTTGATGTCCACTTGGATCTCAATCAAACAAATTTCTTACCTTGGAGTCCTTGTATAGAAGTAGATTAGGCCGTCCAATCGATACTTTCAAATCCTCCTTACAATGAGAAATTTCCATCTTGAACCTTTTTTCTGTGTAAACAAACTTTAAGTTTGCATTGACAACTTTTGTAGGGTGTCCTTTTTCTTCATAGATTAGAAGATGTGAAAGTTAGTGGAGATAACTAGGATCCCACCCCAATTACATAATGTCAATTGCTTAAAATATAAAAACGTGGACAATTTCATTTGCCACGTAGCCATCAATGGAAGACCAAATAAGTGTTGTGTTTGAGGTAAGGAATGAGACTAGACAATAATGAATGTTCGGATATCGGATGAGTTTAATTAATTTAATTTGCACATAGCCAATTAATTATTGTATTTAGTTTTCAATACGGCCTCACAAAACTTCAACCACCAAGTTGAACTTATGAATGAGTTTTCCCCACTTGATTGTGACAAAAAGGTTTAGTCATACAAAAAGGAATAGATGCTTTATAAATGAAGTCTCTAATTCTAATTATTATGACAATATGTATTTCAAGCATTTGTTAGACTTTTAATATAAGAAGTATTTGAAATTAGATTGTCAAACATAATGTTTTTAGCTTGCTATTGGACTGCTAATATAAAATCTATAATTTATAATGTGATGAACAAAATGGTTTTACTTTCTTTTTTAAAATGTTTCTAGCAACTAAAAAATTGTATTTAGTTGTAGAAAAACATTTTATTTTGATGTGGAAAACTTGGAAGATCAGGCTAATCAAAGGCTAGCTTAGCTTGTGAATTCGTTTCTATTTTCTACCCCGGGCAAATAATTATGGACGAACTTATTTCATTCTTATGCTTGTGTACTAACATGATGATGAGTATTTTCCTCGCGACTACTTATCACCCTCTCGTGTTATATTAAAAAATCATTAGATTTTCCAGCAGGATGAAAGAACATACCAATATACCATGTTCATGAGATATAATGTTGCTCAAGAATGATTACTTTCGAAATGCTATTGCTATGAAGAATACCTTATTTTGTATGGTTAAGTACTGTCAGATTGAGAATTGGACCAATACTCACACCCTAAATTACCTTCTCCATGCCCATACGGCCATACACATTCCTAGCTAATATACTGAGTGAGCATGGCCTTCCAAAATACTTTACCTTATTTCCACCAAACTTCAATATCTGTTTCTTGCAGACTTATCCTTTATCTGTCAAACATTACTGTCATTTCATATCCCTAGTATCCCCATGGAGAAAAACAACTGATTGCACCAATCTTAAAGTGACACAAACCTTACAAACCCAGAGAGTTAACCAAAAGAGAAAAAGGATGTCCCAGAGAAACAGAAGAGGTTTTTGATAGTAACAGCCATTTTTTGTGTGCAGCCAGCAAGTAAGCAACTAACTCGGCCTTTTTGGGGGGGATCTCTCTGCTGCAGCACTTGCAGCTTGCATTATTTGACTTTGAGAGGATTGGGGGAGAAGGTAAGGGAACTCACCACACCACCAGCAAAACCCCAAATGTGGCACTCTGTGAATGGACTAGTTCATGAACCTCCCACCCTTTTTTATTGCTAAAAATATATAATTGGGAAGAAATAAAAATCAAGTCTTTGGGGATGTGATCAAATGGTGCTGCTGTGCCTCTGTAGCTCTGTATTTAGAATAGTTTTATCCAGTATTATTTGTACATGGTGTATTTTTTTATTGATTAATCATAATCAAATGATGAATTTTCAGTTTTGTTTTCTTTCTTTCTTCTTGTCTGGAATATGCCAAGGTTTACTGTTGGTATGGTATGACCAATCCCTCTCCTCCCTTTTTCAGTTTTTCTACTCTTCCTTTCTCTCTCTTGCCCTAACCTGCCCCTTATTCTCTGGTTTCAATACTTGCCCACCCTCCCTGCCCCAACTTCTCATTTTCCCTCTTTCACAAGCAGTCCCTCTCTTTCTCTCTCCCTACTATCTATCAAACCTCCTTTTTGACTAAAAGAACTTCACAACTGGGAGCTGGGTATCACTTGTTCTAATCTCTAATCCATTTCACCACCCCCTTTCCTTTCTGTCTTTTGATTATAATGGGCAAATAAAGACTTGTTTATGAAATGGGTTCCCTTTTCTCCATGGTTTTAGGTTTCAGCTGTGGGTAGAGATTTGTTTTTTTCCCCCTACCTTTTTCACTATTTTCTGGAGATGGGTCTGGGTCCTGATTCTTCCAAACCCAAGTTGCAGTTTGAGGTGAAATCAAAGGGCAACAACAACAAGAAGAAGAAGAAGCAGAGAGATGTTGTGGTGGGTAGGAATAGGTCAGAGGAAGATTTTGGCTGCTGGATTAGATTGAGGCTGATCGGTGGTTGCATGCCTTCAAGATCAAAAGTTGATAGCTCCTTGAGTGGCATCACTAATCAATATGGTAAATGAATCCCGCTTTAACTGTCCCCTTTTGTTTTGGTGATGTTATTCATGTGGATTAATTACTTTATATCTCAAATTAGATATGGAATAAAAAGTCAAATTGATTCTGTTTAACATCTTTGGGCTGAGTTTACGACAGGCGGTGAAATTTTGTGCTGCATGATCAGATGTTTTTGCTCTCTTTGGTAATTAAGGATGCTTAAGTTAATACCGGTGTTTCGTCCTTTTTGCCCTTTTTGTCTTGCCTGAGATCGCAAGTACAAGGCTTGGAAAGGAGAAAGCGGGTGAATTTAATGTGGTCTATGTTTATGGTTTGGATTATGCATAAGATGCCTGGTTGTTAAGTTGGTCAAACTGTCATAGGTTTGCTTAATTTTGGAAAGCTACGTAGGAGTGTTGACTGGAATAGATGAAACCCTTATTGAGAAGAGCCGATTGGGATATTATCGTAGTCAAATAGATGGAACCCTCTTTTTGGGCCGAAGTCTTCCTTCAAAGAGTTTACTTGATGTTTATGCTTCATTTTCATGGTTGATCTAGTACAACTGAATTGTTCTGCTAATGTTTCTTTCCCCTTTCAGCTGAAAGCCAGTCTGCAAATGAGAAAATCAAAGACCAACCAGTTGTCCCAGTATTGTCGTCTACGACTACTAGTAATGCAGAGAGTACAGCATCAACACCTAAATTCAGCGAGGAACTAAGGCTTGCTTCTCAGCTGCGGAAGTTCACGTTCAATGACCTTAAACTAGCGACTAGGAACTTCAGGCCCGAAAGTCTGCTAGGGGAGGGTGGTTTTGGATGTGTCTTCAAAGGGTGGATTGAGGAGAATGGGACTGCTCCAGTTAAACCAGGAACCGGTCTCACTGTCGCAGTGAAAACCCTGAACCATGATGGCCTTCAGGGTCATAAAGAGTGGCTTGTATGGGATCTTTTTATCTTGTTCTTTGATTCTTTTGTTTTTTCATTTGTTGAATTGTTGATGAATGTAATCCTCTATATTTCAGGCTGAAGTTAATTTTCTTGGGAACCTTCTCCATCCGAATTTGGTCAAGTTGATTGGTTACTGCATTGAAGACGACCAAAGGCTGCTGGCGTACGAGTTTATGCCTCGTGGAAGCTTGGAGAACCACCTCTTCAGGAGTATGTAGCCTTGGATACTGTGAAGTCTTTTTGAGCTTGCTTTGTTTTGCTTGGGGTCTAAAATCTTTTATGTTATTCATGCTTATGTCAAAAGTTATAATCAAGCAGTAATTAACAATGTTCAGGCAGAGTTTTGATTGCTAGATTTTTAGGTCAGTAAGGTATGTTGTAAGGATTTAACATTAGTTACTGTAGATTTTAATGGCTACTAGTGTTCAGCAACTAAACAACTAAATGGATCGTAGATTTAGGTTTCTTTAGTCATATGAGCTAATAACTGTAGCATGTTTGCAAGATCCCTAAATGGAGAGCATGCATCTGGTGGCCTTAGTGATTTTGTTGATTGGACTGTCATAATCATGAAAATCAGAATATCTTTAGATTCTTTAGTTAGAATTATTTGTATCTAAATCTACAGACTGAATTGTTCTGGGGCATTGGGCAAGGCAAATATTAATTTCCAAAGGTTGCTGTCTGTTAAGTTGATTCTTGGAAGATTTGTAATGTTTTTCTGGTAACAACCATTTTTGATGCAGCAGGGTCCTTGCCACTTCCTTGGTCAATCAGAATGAAAATCGCACTTGGTGCTGCTAGAGGTCTTGCATTTCTTCATGAAGAAGCTGAAAGACCAGTAATATATCGTGATTTCAAAACATCAAACATCTTATTGGATGCGGTATGTGATTATTTCAACTGTTATGAAATGTATTTCCTTATATTTCCTGCAAATGCTAACAACCATTCATATTCGTTTTGTTAGGACTACAACTCCAAACTTTCCGACTTTGGCCTTGCAAAGGATGGTCCCGAGGGAGATAAGACTCATGTATCTACACGAGTTATGGGGACATATGGCTATGCTGCCCCAGAGTATGTGATGACTGGTGAGTTGGATTTTGAACTGCTTTTCCCTTGGACAATTTGTTCTTGCATCGGTGTGAAATTGGTCACGAATTAGTTTTACTGTTAACCAAGATACCTACCTCCTTGCTAAAAATTATGCTGTAAAATATGTGTCGAAACTTTTGAAATTATAATATCCTTAAAGCAACATTCTTAAACTTGAAACTATATTATGCTTGAATATGTTTATTGGTGTTATTGTAAGAGTTAGATGAGACAAGAGCTTATACTCCAGTCTCCACCTGATGTTACTCTAACAAGTTTCCTTACTGGTTCAGGACACTTGACGTCAAAGAGTGATGTATACAGCTTCGGAGTAGTTTTACTAGAAATGTTAACTGGTCGGAGGTCCATGGACAAGAACCGACCTAACGGGGAGCACAACCTAGTGGAATGGGCAAGGCCACATTTTGCCGACAGAAAAAGGTTCTACAGATTATTAGACCCTCGTCTCGAAGGCCATTTCTCGATCAAAGGTGCTCAGAAGGCTATACAACTAGCAGGGCAGTGTCTCAGCCGCGATCCAAAAGCCAGGCCTAGAATGAGTGAGGTAGTTGACACATTAAAGCCTCTACCAAGCTTGAAAGACATGGCCAGCTCTTCTTACTTCTTCCAGACTATGCAAGCGGAGCGCAACAAGTCGAACTTGAATTCCAAGAATGGGGTTAGAACTCAGGGTGGATTTATGACGAGGAACGGTCAAACTCTGAGGAGCTTATCGAGCTTAAGCGATGCACGTGCGGCTTCTCCATATAACCAGCCTTGCCAGTCACCAAAACCTAATGGGAAGAAGTCATAGCAGTGGTTGGGTGGGATCAGAGCATGTGTTGTTTATATATTGAAATTTTAGGTCCTATTGGGTGTGGATTTGCCACTTCCATGGTTAAGTATCAGGAATTAGAACCATAGGTGGCCCCCCATTGGGATCTTTGGTGAATGCATCTTCTTTGTGTATCTGTGTAAGTAAAATGACAAAGATAGCCTCTTTCTTCTCCTGGCCTTCAAAAGTGTGGAGCCTTGGTATCAGAAGTCAACAGGGGGTGATATTGGAATCAAAGAAATGGGTATTAGAGAGTTGGAATTAGTAGTGTGATTAACAGCTGCTGGGCATGGTAAGTACATGGAACAGAAAGTAAATCTGCTTCTTTTTCGATATCTTTTCCCCCCTTTTCTGAATGTAGTCATTCAATGATGTTTCATTAACTTGGTCATCAGTCCTGCTATTAGCCTTCTCCATTTCTGTTAAGCTCCTGTTGTTGCTTTCTTCTCCCCTGGAGCTAACTGGTGCCATTTTTATTGTTGGGAGGAAGATTATAGACACTATCCATCTGTAAAGAGGAATGAAGCACACAAGTTGGTGCTGTAAAGTTATCCTCTTTTTCTCCAAATCACTCTCGACTGTTGGCTACAGTTGCATCCACTGACTGTAAATTAGTACACTTGCCATCTGCATATTCAATTTCTTATCCCCCATTTTTATGTTCACGTCGTACAATGGTATCGGCATTGCACGCCAGTGCCAAGCAATCGTCATTGGGCTGAGAGACAGCGTGATGGCATTCTCCGAGAGTGTCTCCGAGACAACTGCCAAGGATGTCATGGACATGGTCCTGCGGACTCAGTACTTTGACACCATGAAAGAGATTGGATCTCACTCTAAGTCCTCTTCTGTGTTCATCCCACATGGCCCAGGTGATGTCAAAGATGTCTGTTCGCAGATTCGCGATGGTCTTCTTCAGAGAAAGAAAACTGATTGATTCAACATTCCCCCCTAGACAGTCAGTAACTGGGTTTAACTAGGCTTTCTTAAGGGCTCGTTTGCTTGTTGGATTTGAAAATGAAGGTTTTGAGTTTTAAAAACCTTTGGATTTATGATGGATTTGTTGCATCATGGATTTGGAAGAGTACATTGTTTGTTTAGTTGATTTTTTATCATGGATTTATGATGGATTTGTCTCACATTTTGTCCTTCTATTGTCAAATCCCAAATGAAATGTGGGATTTACAAATCCGTGGGGTCCACGGATTTGGATCTAAAAAAGGGGTCCAAATCCGTGGACCCCATGGATTTGTGTCCCTCAACAAACAAAGGATTTGTGTCAACTCCATAATGCTTGAGATTTGGGTTCCAAATCCATCACCCAAATCCCACAAGCAAACGACCCCTAATGTAACCATAGACAATGTGGACTTTGAAATTTGATGATGACATTACTAATACCATGAAACGATCAGCTATCTTTTACCAGTTTTTCCTTCAAAGTTTCAAACTTTATGCATTTGGGTCCTCACATGTACCATTAGTTTCTCTTTTGGCTGTGGTTAAAACCTCGGCCAGTACAGAAACTGTAACAAACTAAGAGCAATAATGGAGAAACCAATAATTCGAATCCCATCAAAAGCACCAACCCACTCTAGATATTTATCATGTGGGGAGCTCAATACTGTGTGCCGTGTTGGGCTCCATGGAGAACCAAAAAAGTCAGCATCACTCAATGAACCGTTTTCCCAAACTGGAAATTTTCCCAAAGATGCCTATTTGCTGCTGCTTGTCCTCTACTCGGAAGTGTTGCATTTCTCATTTCTTGCTGATAGTCACATGCAACTGCAATTACTTATCATGCAATCTTTGGACATCTATGGAAAATTGGGAATCGCTCAATCCTACGGTGAGAAAAGGGTTAGGTCAAGTTTTCTGTCTTTAGCTTTCTTTACCTTTATAAATGTGCTTCACCCACTGTAGATCCAATTCTCAGGATACACAAAGCAGTTTCTCCATTACAACTTCTTCTTCTTCTTCTTCTTCTTCTTCTTCCCACTCTGAGAGAGCAAAGCTAAGAGAGGATGGGGAACCTGTCTTGCTGTGTGAAAGTGGACCAGTCCACTGTTGCCATGAAGGAAAGGTTTGGCAAGTTTGAGGATGTTCTTGAGCCTGGCTGCCATTGCATGCCATGGTTCCTCGGAAGCAGTGTCGCCGGCAGCCTCTCCCTTCGCCTGCAGCAGCTTGATGTTCGCTGTGAAACCAAGACCAAGGTTAATGTCTCCACTCTTCTTTACTCTTACCCTCCGCTCGCTTCAGATCACTAATCCTCTGCGTTGTGGGTTGACGACACGTGGCACAGGACAATGTGTTTGTGAACGTTGTGGCTTCAGTTCAGTACAGGGCCCTGGCCAACAAGGCAAACGATGCTTTCTACAAGCTGACCAACACCAGGTCCCAAATCCAGGCTTACGTTTTCGACGGTAAATTACATAAACACTACAATCTTGAATTCGGAATCAAAACCCAACCAGAGAAAATGAACATGATCTCATATTTTGCAGTGATCAGAGCCAGTGTCCCCAAACTGAACCTGGATGCAGCTTTCGAGCAGAAGAACGAGATAGCTAAGGCAGTTGAAGACGAGCTGGAGAAGGCCATGTCTGCCTATGGGTATGAGATCGTCCAGACGCTGATCGTTGATATCGAGCCCGACGAGCGTGTGAAGAGGGCAATGAACGAGATCAATGCTGGTGAGACAATGAGCTTTTTCTTTACAGTTCACACTCAATCAAACGGTCAGAGCTTAATGACCAGTTTATTCGTTAAGTTAAGTGACTGTTTCTTTAATTATGCCACCACAAAGCTTTGCTCTTAATACAAACTTACCTTACTGCAGCTGCGAGATTGAGGCTGGCGGCGAACGAGAAAGCAGAGGCGGAGAAAATCGTGCAGATCAAGCGAGCAGAGGGAGATGCAGAGTCCAAGTTCCTGTCCGGGCTGGGTATCGCGCGCCAGCGCCAGGCGATCGTCGACGGCCTGAGGGACAGCGTGCTGGGCTTCTCCGGCAACGTCCCGGGGACATCGGCCAAGGATGTGCTGGACATGGTCCTCATAACCCAGTACTTCGACACCATGAAGGAGATCGGAGCTGCCAGCAAGTCTACCGCCGTGTTCATTCCTCATGGCCCCGGTGCTGTCAACGACATCGCTGCCCAGGTTCGAGATGGTCTCCTTCAGGCAAACCCTCCTCAGTGAAAATCCCTTAAGCATCTGCCCGTCTATCTATTATTTGTTTAAGCTCTTGCATTGCATCTATGGCGGTAACAGTGTGGAAGAAAGCTTCGAACTTGATTTCCATAATATACCAGTGTGATAACTGATAAGAGTTGTATATGTATGATCAATGATGGAAGAGTGTGCAAGGCAATAACTTCAGCGCCCCTCCCACCCCCAACACCCAATGGTAATAGCAACTATTTCTTTTTAGCTGGTTTCTGTAGTTTGTTTTGGTTTAAGGTGTTTGAATTAATGACTTTGGGTGTCAAATCCGCAAAGAAAAGGCTTTTGCTCGACCTCTTGTTTGAGTCTGTGTGCAACTAACATACACTCCAGAATTAATTTGAAAGAACGTTAGTTTTAGAATTCGTGATGTCGAGATGTGCACTCTAAAATCGAGAATGAAACATTAAGTGATGTTGAGATACACATACATACACTTCAAAATTAAAGGTTAATCATGAACAAGGTATCATTGATCACGTCTATGATGATAAACAATCACAGATTATAAACTGTCAGAATCAACAGAATCGAGCCTCTGCAAAACTTCTGTTCAGTGAACCGAAACAACGGAAAATGCCAAGGGGTTTCACAAAACTCTATTTCTTATTTGCACATTGACGAACATGGAAATAAAGGCATCACAAGAAACCTTCCGAATAAGTCAACAACCGAGCTCTAAGAGCAAAATAGTCATCAAAAGCTAAACCGAGAAGTGAAACTATACTGCAGAATCCCAAAATTAAAAAGGCTTTCCCTTCCAGCAAAAACGGGCTCTGTAATGCTTGCTCATGGCTTGAGAGCAAGAGACAATCCCACCTTGGCACTCTTTTCAATGTTCTTGGATTCCACCTCTCCAGTGACAGTGAAGAAGGATTTTGGCCGCCACTCGTGCTGGATCAGAGCATTTGCCCTGCCACTGTTGTTCAAGCGGAGCTTCACTGATGTCAACGGGTCCCAAGCGTGCTGGGTGCCAACGGTGATGCTGTTCTTATTGGAAGAGAAGCTGTGGGCCACCTCAGCACCAATAGCAGTGAAAGTGTTCACGTAGTGGTGGTAGGAAGCAACCAGAGAATCACCCTTGTTGTTCCTGCATTGGAGAAGATTCAGTGAAATGGATATTTGATGGATCAGTGGAGACGCACATAATAACAGTAATGACATGAAGAAGGGGCAAAAGATTATGCCTACTCACAAACTCAGAGCACCAACAAGATCAGCATTGGCATAGGTCAATGCAGCATTGCACTTGGTGAAATTTCCAGTCTTGGTATCAAAGGAAACATCCGCACCCAGGCCCAAGGCATCACTTCCAACGACACCAGAGAAGTTGACAATAGGGTTTGCTGTCAAGCCAATGCTTGAAGTTACAGCAGCATACTCATGCTTGTACTGAAGCTCCATCTGTTACAGAGAATGAAACATGAATAAACCAAACATGACATCAGACGAGAATGCAAAGTAGAATGGTTTTGAGGCGGGCATTGAAAATCTTAATCATGATTGATGATTTACCTTTCCAGACCTTGGATCTGGAACTTTGAAGCTAAAGATTGCCTTCAGCCCAGGAGCAGGTTCATCAACAGTTATAGTGGTATGAAGCTGAGATGTACAAAAATACTGAACATGAGTACACAATTAGAATAGATGTTCACTCATCAAACCTAAACCAATATACCATTTCTATTCAGAAGAGCAGACTAGAATGAGGCACAGTAACGAAATTCAGATAAAAACAGACCAAATTATTGAAAGATTCAACTCAAAATGTCAAGAAGTGCCTGCAACAACTGGAGAACCTTCAATATTAGCAGAACTAATAATAATCTACAGCGCATTGATGTGTTACAGTCGCACAACTGAATTCACAGCCCATGTGGCCTCTTTTTCATTGAAACTTCTACCCAGCTATTCCTTGTGCAAGAAACAATAATCCAATAACTTTCAACATTGTAAAAGGACTGCAGGGATGATAGAGTTTACATCTTTTGAAAGGCTTAAGATAGGGAACTACCTACCAAGCTAGAGCATACCCAGTTCACGCAAATTAAAGCAGGTAATATACATGATAATTGCAGGGAACCTCAGAAGGAAAAACAACTTGGTATGGTACATAATGAATGCAAGCAAATTCACACGAAAGGAGAGTGAGTCGGACAGCTTACGTTGGATCCAGTGTCCACTTTGATATCAGTTGTCACATTCTTGTTCTTCAGCTGAGTATTGACATCAGCAAAAAACAGCTCTCCTTTCTTCGTTGCAGAACAGGTAACCGCCTGCACGCCAATGAATTACCAGTAAGGCTCAATCAGCACTAGCTAGCCATGTAATGTAAATGGCAATGCACAGCCCACTGAGTTACAGACACAAGAAGCAGAACGAATTTTCGACACGCCTAATCATACCATGACGAATCCCACAGCCATAAATAAACAATCAATTTTTGGATAGGACCCAACACAAGCGCACAATGGGAGGCCTAATAGCGAAGCCAAACAAATTTTAAAAACAAAAGAGCAACCTTAAAATCGGTCTAGCTACACCAATCCAAACATTCACGCTTTCCCTAATGACCCATGCGAAATCGAGCTCCAATGGGTTACAGAAATCGGGAATGAAACCCACTTCCGAACAGCTACTCCGCGAGCGGATTAAATTAACCCTAAAACGAAGGGAGCCAAACAAATATATCATAGAACAAGCAAAACTCACAACTCCGGTGGGAGAGACGGTGGCGACACTGAACTTCTGGTCGCCGTGATGATCCTTGTACAACAGATCTACAAGTTACACGAGAATGGGAAAACTAGTCATATCTCCCAGTCCCACTCCAGAATCAACAAATCGGATAAGTCCCGTCACCGATTAAAGCTGTGTCTGAGAAAGAGAAACGAATACCTAGTGTCTTCTTTCCGATTTCGGAGTAGAGTCCCGGACCTTTCACCATGGTTGATCTCGCGAGCTAAGAAATCAAACCTTCAAAAACCCAGAATAAGGATCACAGCTCACAGGGCAATGGAGAGGAGAGTGTTTCTTCGTGTGAGCGGAGGTCGGAGCAGTGGGAATGCTTTGGCTCGGTTGGTTTGGGATCTTATATAGCTAGTATCGGACCTTTTTCTTTTTAAACGGTCGAGAATTATTATTTATTTATTTATCGAATTTGTTTCGATGTTGAGCGATATAGCCGTCAGATGAAGAGAAGGAGAAGGTTTGGACCGTCGATTAATCGAGAGGGCATTTATTTATTTGCCAGAAAGGATTTTAACGAATTTTTTTCTGTCTTATTGGCCAAGGAGGCGTGGTAGTGGGTCTAGTGACTGACCCTTTGCCCAAGGCTTTTGGATTAGATGATAGATAGGATAAAAAAAAATCAATAAAGTATTGTTTTATTTTTATTTTCCAAGAATGATTAGATGTGCTTATTATTGAAGTGGTTAGTTAAATTGTTGTCCGCACGTAATTGATCATCCTTATTTAAGAATAAAGAGGTCACACTCTAAGACATTAATTAAAACTCATTTGAATAGTGCAAGGATTTGATAAAATTATCCATAAATTTTTGGATACAATATACGTAAATTCTCGATTCATGTCTATAATTATCGCACCCTACTAAAAACATATATATTTTCATTGTACGTGGCGATTCGATCGATAAAAAAATGTTCTTCAAATTGATAATCATCGATCTATTTTATTTGATTTATTATTGTTGATGATTCTAAAAACTACTCCATTGTCCATCTCACATTATACTCTTATTATGGTAGTCCCTCTCTAGGGGATCACTATTATTTTGATGCTAGGTTAACATGAACACCAGAAGAATGTTGTTTCTAGATCCGAGCAAGTTACATGGGAGGATGAGTAATCAAGTAAGTGACAATGAAGAGATTTTTTGGACGAGATCATAAATTGTAAACCTACAAAGAATTTTGTTGCGAGTAATTTCTGAGTACGAGACAAAAAAATGTGCCGAGATGATAAGTGTTTGCTAGATCAAAGTCCAACATATAGGACAACAGTGACTTTTGTTGACAATGACATAATCACATTATCCATGAGTTTTATTCAACACTAATCCTAGTCAATATATTGTTATTTATGAGAGATTGTCAATACCACAATTACAAAGCCTATCAGAGCATATCGCATGGAAAAGATAACATATATATATTAACTAAAGCAAATTCATACATCAACAGTTGAGAGGGTTGATCTTCAGCTTTTCAGAGTGCAAGCAATGAGTAATAGGCAAGAGATATTGGCAACCCAATGAGCATCCCAATTATAACCGATGTGCTCAAAACATCAGGATGAACATTGTACTCTTTAGCAAACACAAATGGTACTATCCCTTGAGGCAGAGCAGCCTGCAACAGCAAAATGGACTTTCTAGTTATTAATTAAGCGCTCAAAACCACAAGAACCCTTGTTTGTATTGGTCTGTAATTAATATGAGAAAACCAGTAAAGGAGTTTGAACCTGAACAATGGCAACTCGAAGAACCGTGCCTCTCAATCCTACAACGACAGAAGAGAGTGCCATTAGAGCCGGCCCTGCAACGAACTTCATCGCCATGGCTGCCACGTCTACCATTCGGATTCTGCAAGCAGTTGCAGTCGCCCTTGACGCCATGAACAGCCCTGTCAAGACCAGGATTAGAGGGCACAGCCAAATGGTAGCCAGTTTTTCCCCCTCCGGTATTTGTTGTCCCAATTTTATTGCTCATGCTTGGTAAATCACCAAGCTCACGAGAAGCAAACTGCAGCATCAGCACTACAAACACATCAAAGAGTACAAAACCTTCTACCATAGCTAGGAAGCTAAATGTTGGTGTCTTTACCTAAGCTGAACATTGCCATGCCAAGTCCACCTGTTGCCAGTATCATGATGGAGTTGTCGATAACAACTGGAAGCTTTAGCCCCCACCTGCAGACAAAAATTGTAGCAAACAATGTTGTTTTAGTCAACTGATGAAGATGATGTTGACCAATGATGTAATGTATAAGATACCTGAACCGAATGCAAGCCCAAGCAAAGCCGATCGAGGTAGCATAAAAGTTGGGATTCCTGATCAGCTTGCTTCCAACGACGATGAGAATGGACATTATTGTCTTCTTCACTTCCCTTCCTGTGTTCTCAGAAGCTTCTTGTTCATGTTCTGCTGCTCCATCCTTCGATTCTCCTTGATCAGAGCCATCCCTATGGTTCCCACCTTAGAGATACAGAATGTAATTAAAGAAGATGCAAAGAAAAAGAAGGGTTAGTGTCATTGCTTAGTCACAAAATTATGATCCTTAACAAATACATTATGTAATATGTCTTTGATCTATTTCTAATTCCTTCATTTAAAATTTTAATCCAAATTCATTACTAGGGAGGTTGACCCATATTTAATAATCAGTTTCTTAATTACTAAACCCATGATTGCATTGTTATAGCAAAAGGTGTACTTCACAAGGGGACTAAATATTAATTAAAGGCATTGTATACAGAATTAGAGATGTATATGTTAAAGACTTGCTTACTACAATAAACTTGGCCAAAAAGAGCATTTCAAAACCACTAACCTGCAACTTCTGGAGAGGGGTTAGCCGTTGCATCCATGGCAGCATTGACCTCAAACAGAAACAGCAGAAAATTGTACCAAACAATGCTCTGCAGGAACACAATCTGAGACAGCAGTGACTCTGCCTTGCCACCATACATAGCCTTCAAAACCGGGACCCCGATGATCAACGTGTTGGGCAATGTCGACAGAGACAGCCCTGTAATGACCAAACTCAGCCTCCAACCTCTGAACCAGAACCTGGTGACCACTCCAATCAACACAATCGCCAGCAGTTTCTGAACGAAATCCGAGAGTAAGAGCCTCGGGCTCATGTTATAAGGGTTGTTGGCTGAGATGATATTGAAGGAGAGCAATGGGATGGAGAACTTGGCCACAAACTTGTTGATCCCACCACATTGCTCTGGGGTGAACAGCTTCCACCATTTCACTGATGTGTAGGCAAGTATCATGGCGACATACAGTGGGAATGGGATTGTGGCTGCAACCACATGGTAGACATCCTTTGAAGATATCATTTGGGTTGGTAGTTTTTGCTCTCTTTAAGAATGTTTCTTTTTTGTGATGATGATGATGACTATGATGATGGTTATTGGATATATTGGTGGGGGATTTTGAGAAAATTTGTACGTGGAATGGCTGGTGAGAAGCTATCTAAAAAAGGGAAAGGTTTTCAAAAGTTTGTGCTGATGAATCCCAAGATTGGTTTCCTTGACAAAAGGTGCTAATATTAAGACATCAACCTGGTTGTATTATAGTTTACCTTTTTGTTCTTATTCTCTTTTTGTTATTCTATTATAAAAAAAACTATTCTTGTTCTTACTTCTACCGATTGACTTATTACTTATCAACCAACAAGAGGGTGGATTGTACAAAATGATCACTAAACGTTGAGGTTATTGACATATCCAACATTGAAGTTTGATTCTTCACAAACTTGACACTGAAGTTTGGAATAAATAGTTTACAAGAGGGGTTAACTGATTACGTCAAGTAGTAACGTTAGATTTTCCATACAAAATGTCCATATATACTGACGCGCTAAATCACTCAAAAAGTAGTAAAAAATTCCAACATTGATTGGCTTATAAGGATAAATGGCGAGAAATTTGTGACTTTATTTGATAGACTCATAACTTAAATCAAATTTTAGCTATTCAGTTTGTCTCGAAATCACACTAATAACTTCTCCCTCCCTTTACCTGACATTTTCATCCATGTTTGAACTAAATCAAACTCATAATATGATCCTATTTCAACCAAAATTACTCAAAATAACCATAATAATCTCTTCCTCCATTCACTTAATCGATACTTAGAGGTTCTATATATGTGTCTTTTTTACTAGTAATAATGATGACGGGAACCATGATATAGACTTGTCGAACATAAATACCATCGAATTTGGAGATCAAGTGGTTTTATTGTCAGCTATTCTAAACTTCGAAAATAAATAAGTTAAAAAAGTCAAAATTTAGTGACCGATTTTTCAATAATCGCCAGGTATAATGAGATTTTATGTGCTTGATCCCACATGACTTCATCATATACAGAAGGTATGCTATATAGTCTATAATACTTTCCTCCAAGTCATATGCTTTTTTCCTGCTAAGATGGTTTAGGTATCATATTTATTTCCGTTGAGTGGCTATGGATCAGCCAAAATTAAGTTACACATTGTCTAGTCTCATCATCATAAAATGAGTCGAAAGTACAGATTCCTCCATCGTTAGCTTCTTGTTGATATGTCTTTTTGGCTAATGGGACTTTCTTTAGGCAAAGCACAGCATAGCTAGCTAGACATATAGGCAGGTTGACAGAAAGAACTCTATTTGCTGAATCTTGTTCATCAATCATCAGGTTTCCATTAAACTGCTTTTTCCAAAACTGCGAGAGGGGATCCATCTGATGAAGAAAAAGGGACCAACTTTGGCACCCCAACATTACCAACGGAAAGTTGTTGGATGCTGTCCACCAAGACTTATGTTATGTATTTCCTCCACCCTTTGTATCCGTACCATATATATATATATATGGGTCAGACTGGTGTACGTCAGGCGTATACTATACGTCAGGTACTACTAGTAAGATATCTCTATCTAGACCATGAATTAAATCGAGTATGAGGTATGATACTATACCCTAACCTCTAATGAATAAACCCCAGCCACTGATTTTCTAAATCCCAACCCGAAGTTTGATTTAATGAAAAGTAAAAATTGACCGTTGAGATCGGCCGGAGCTCATCTAAGTACATCTAACGGTTAGATCACATGTTGTATACTATACGCCTGACGTACACCAGTCACTACCATATATATGATATATATATGCGTACGTATATTCATAATTTCGAGTTGTAATAAAACCGCGACAGCGTGGAAGGGGAGGTTGAAATATATGAAGTTCAAAACATTTGAATCGTGACAGTCCATCGTATAGGAAGGATTAGGTCTTACCAATTGTATTAATTTTTAAATTTTATTTTAAATTTTAAGTGTATTTTTAACTATATTGTGATAGATTGAGAGGGTCAGAGGGGCCATAATAACCCCTCCACCTATAACCTAGTTGTGCCACTAATTGTTGAAAATATGGTTGTAATTAAACATTGTGTTTATATTTCCTTACTCTTTCAATCAAATGAATGTTTATGATCGAGCAAACATCTTATGAAAGAAATTTGCGAGTAAGGGTATCAAACGATTGTAATTCGTGCACATGCATCACATATATATGTATTACAATTGTATGATTTCCTTTCTCACGAATACGATATTTTAAAAGCTGCAACTATAATATTTAGGCCTGATTAAGAAGTAGGCGAAATATGTGTTGATTTTCTTTCACACCACCCATAAAGGTTGGCTATGATAACTTACTGAGGCCTAGGTTATGCTACTAAGGAAGAGGGAATAAAGTAGTGAATTGCAAGGGAAGTAATTGGGGAAGTACTGAAAATAGTTTATATGGGGAGTGTGTGAGTGGGAATTTTTTACCAAATGTGGTCAAAAGTAACGAGAGAATATAATTAAGTGCATGCATGCTGGTGGTGGGGATTTCAACTGCTGCACTTTGACGAAATGTGTGTCTGGAGGTTTTTGCCATAAACACATCCTGGCTCTCTCTTGAAGCCTGTCTTTTGTTACCTCAAACTGCAATTTCGTGAGAGGCGATGCAACTGCAAACTTTAGTCTATGCTTATAGCTATAGTACTACTTACATGTTCTTTGCATGTGATTTCTGCAAACTTTGTATTCATGTTTATGTCAAGCTTATATTGGTCGACCTCGAAGATGTGTCGTGTTCTTTGGAAAGAGGAATAATGACCTCATGACTCAATTCTGTGGGACACGATTGTTCGTAAATTGGACAAACAACTTTGTGCATATTCATCGACAAGTTTTACAATCATGAATACATAAGATGATCATAGACAACAACTTTATCGGTTCGGTTCTCTCTTAATCATCTTCTTGTTGGAATCTCTAGTAATTCTATCTTATCAATTTCAGATGATAGATGAGTGACGCAATCATCACTACAGGAAAAAGGTCCTTTGATCACGGGGAATCCCGTGCTTAAAAGCATGTTTCCCGTGATTAATGACTTTAGTCACGAGAAATTTACCGTAATATAAAGCTCTGTGTCTAATTGTATACCGTGACTAGTTATAGTACCGTGACTAGTTAACTAGTCACAGTGAATTTTCCCATGATTATTTGTACCTATTAATCACGGGAGAACCGTGTTGAATGCCAAAATTTGGAACACATGTACAAGAAAAAAATCATTTAAAGACGGGATCTACACCTTTTTAAACGGTATTTACCATGACAAAATGTAATCCCATGACTAAATGTCAATCACTAGTCACTGTATTTACTACCTATGGTCATTGTATTTTACCGTAACTAGTTACAAACCACTAATCATGATATAATTTCATGATATTAAATTTTGAAACCTACATACGCACTGAAGACAATTTTAATCTCCCTATTACATTTATAATTGTAAGAGAAACCAAAATGATCATCAGCATTATAACACTACCAAAATAATGTACTCATGAATTTGATATTTTTACAATAGAACGGGTTTCAAATGTTTAAACTTATACTCCTATGATGTTACAATGCCTGCTATAACTAATTGCAAAATATCCTAACTAATCAAGCCGATGCCTTCCAAAACCAACTAAAAACAAATGAATTCGTTCAGTGTCATGTCGTGGCTCTTACATGCTGCTTCACATTGTCTGCCAAAAATCAAACACATAATTAGCTATGACAATTGCAATACAAAAGCACAGACAGAGCAATTGAGGTAAAACAATTCAAAAGAACCAAGTTTGTATGCAATTGAGGGAAAACATCCTAAAGAAAGTCTCTCAATTTAAGTTCAGAATCTAGACGCCCACTAGTAGAATCACTAAAGCATAGGAACAAGGTACATTGCTGAGGATCAAAACATAGAAAAGGATAGCCAAGGTACATATTTAACTTGCATATTACCATTGGCGTCTCTTGGCTTTTCTTTCAAGCAATAAATAGTATCATTAAGCATAAGAACAAGGTACATTGCTGACTTTTTCCAGCCTAGAAAAATACAAAAACCCAAATATCAAATCTAAATAAAAGAACACACAATGAATTGGGCATACACTAATTGGCTAGCTAATAATAAAAGCATCTATCTCATTGAATCATTTTAAAATGAAGTGAAATGAATAATCACTCACTGGAAGATTGATTACAAGAAGAAATCCAGCGATAGGGGTAACACTAGTTTTCTGCAGACTTCTACAGTTCTGTAGAAGCAAGGACAGGGCAGAAACAAGATAGCATTCAGGTGTGGTAATAAGAATTCAACTAAAGCAATGAAAAGTAATAGCCTTCAAAACCCAGACAAACTAGGAATCAAATGTAGATAAGATAATAACTAAATTTATTGAACATAAACAAATATTCAAATTGCACAAATACAAGGTAATGATGTGCTTTAAGCGTCTCCTGTTTGTAAAGAAGACTAAGGTGGTGGGCCAAAAAGGCTTGCAAAATGTGGCAATGAGCACAGCCCATCATGGAAGCCCAACACATCAATCGTAGCCCAGAACAACAAAACGACTGCATAAGCCCAACACCCGTTAATATACTCTTATAGCATGTCCATAGGGCTGCAAATGAGCCAAGTCGCTCGCGAGCAACTCAGCGTTCGAATCGAAAAAAATTCGTTTAACACTCGGCTCATTAGTTAACAAGTCGGCTCATGATCCGATTCGTTACTAAACGAGCCAAGCTTGAGCTAGCTTGATTCGGTGGCTTGTTGAGCTAAGCTCACGAGCTGGCTTGTTTAGAGCTAGTAGAATGATTAATTACTCTTTTGAACATGAACATTATCTTGTTAATACGAATGTGCATGAAAGTTAACTGTTATTTTTAGTTTCTAGTGTTCTTTTTATCATTTAAACTCTTATGTGTACACATTTTTCAGCAAGAATGATTTCAGATCGAGCTCATCTTGAGCCGAGCTTGTACTTAGCTTGACAACCTGTGTTAATGAGCATTTACCGAGCTATACCGAGTCGAGATCGATTTGTATTATTTTTAGTCGAGCCGAGCTCGAGCTCGTAGTGGATTATCAAAATTCGAAATCGAGCTAAAAAATTTACAAACAAGTCGAGTTTAAGTTAAGAAAAACTCGACTCGACTCGTTTGCAACCCTACATGTCCATATACAACGAGACGGTATATCAACCATTAGAAAGCAACGGTGTTCCACCCTCTCCGCTTAACTCCATGTTTAGTATTAATTCTCGTTAATCAGAAAATTAGCAGCAGAGCTAAATATAGCTCACGATTTATTTTTAGTGCATAATATTCTCATATAAATAAATTATCTCTGCATCACCCAGAAAAAAAAAACATAACAATAAAATTTTTCTACTTCTTTTGTGGCTTTCAAATAAATAAATAAAATTTCCTTTTTCGTTGCGCGACTTCCAGACGAAAGGGGAAGAAAGACAGACAGACAGACGACGGAGAAGATGGCGTCAGCAAAGATGGCTCTGTTTGTGGCCGTGTGCTTAGCCGCCGCCATGATCCAGACGTTGAACGCGGACCCGGCCGTGTACGACCCCGTTTGGCAGAAGCGCGCCGAGGAAGCCAAGAAGAACACCATGAATGCTTACATACCGGACGTCATGGAAGTCAGCAACGACAAGAACGCCGGCGACACCACCGTCGTCGTCGAGTCCGCTGCCGGACAGGCTCCGCTTGCAGCTGTCGCCGGAGGTGCCGCCACCAGCCCTGCTCCTGCAGTCGCGGAGCCAACAGGCGACAAGAAAGTTAGTGGCAATTAATGTTTGTTTAATGATGACACACCTTGTAAAAGAAAAAAGAAAAAAATTAAGCTTGAAATGGTGAACTAATTCCATTACCTAATCAAAGCTTTGTTTTAATTTGAATATTCTGCGATCTGAAGATTTGCTCTTAGTTTCCATGTTCTTCAAAGAAGAAGAAGAAGAAAAATTCCATGATTCCATTTGTTATAAACGCGCTGCTACGGATCGGGAAATCGTCGGAATCGACAAAGCAAGAATACGAGAGCGAGAATCGAAAGAACACAGACACACGATTTACGTGGTTCACTAACACGATGTGTGTTAGCTAGTCCACGGGCGAGAGAGAACCAGTTTCACTATATCGAGGAGATTACAGATTACAGAGGAGTATGAGAAGTATTTATAGTACTTCTCCATATGGGTCTAAACCTAATCATATCAACACCATTTTATTACCTGCTTCCGTTGTCTATAGTATGTGCTTTTGCATGCACGTCTTCAGATATATATAGTTCTACATATCAACACATTGTTAATTGTTATAATAACGAAACCGAATGAGCGGTTGGACCAGTACGACCGTCAAACTAGTTACATTATGATTACTAGAATATTAGGGATGGATCAAAACGATTGGACATGAAACCATATGAAATATCACAATTTGAATGGTCCAGTACTTTGATTTACCATTTTAACTACACAAAAAATACTTTAACGTAAACTAAGACCATACAACCTGAATTGTTAATTTTATTTATGCTTCATTTTCTTATTTCTTAATCTTCTTGTCGGCATTACATGGTCCATTACTGATTGCCACCCTAATTAGTAACTTTAATGTAATAAAAATATTTTTTGTGAGGCATTTTGGATGATTTGTTAGAACTCCTCGCGATGGATGATATTCTATTGAAATTGTTTATGGTTAATAATAAATTCAGTCAAAATTAGTGTATCATATATGTATTTAATGTCATAACGCACCAAATGTTCCGACAACGGTAATCAACTGTTCCATAACGATAAACCTTTGAAGCATAAATCACTAACTTTTTTGGTTCAATATTGAATTCTATTATAAATGCATGGACTATCACATAAGAGAAGAGGATCATTTTTTTCTCAAAAACATGCGATAAAATTGAAATGATATGTAAGAAAGTGGTTAAATACCATATATGGACCTCCCCAACAACTCGAGTCATTGGACCAGTTGGTTTATGACATGATATCAGAGCTAGTTTGTCCATGAGGTCACATGTTCAAGTCCTCAGTCCTCACGACTCCCAATATTAATCATTTTCTTAAATAACATGGTATGTCTGAGGTTGTGCAAACTTCAAGCCCATGAATTAGCTTTCGTTTGAGGAGACGTGTAAGTAAGTAGTTAAGTATCATGCATGGATCTGTCCCAACTCCCAACAATTCGAATTGTCTAGATCGCTACGATTCCATTAGCTTGGAGTTGGAGAGAGGCTTATACTTGATGGTGGCACCAAACGTACTTTGGTCCTTTGTTCACGTCAAAACATGTCCAAAACGATTCAAACCAAATCGTAGCCATGCAAGGTCACTGCGATGAGGTGTTTAGACATGCTCGCCAACTCGTGCACAAAGAAGAAACGGCTAATTATCATAAATGGTCACAAACCTATTCACTTTGTACAAAACGGTCACAATTCTTTAATTTTGTACGTTTCAGTAATATAAGTTTGAGCAAATAACAAAAAGGTCAATCCGTCCAATTTCATCCAAAAATCTGTTACTTTTCCTTACTCAGCATGACACATCATCAAATAAATTAATAAAAAATAATTTAATCATTCGAATTAACCCGTCCAACTCTAACCGGTCCTAGTAGCTCAGTTATGTATCCACCCGCCCGATTCATCCGATTTGGCTATTAGCAATAGTAGCAGAAGCGCAGATCCGTGGACGTCCACTGGGCTCTCCTCTTTCCTCGGTGGAGTGGTGCCTCTCCCTCTCTCTTCTCCAGCGAACCCTAGAAGTCCATCGTCGTCGAGTTTGCTCTCTCCTCGAACGACGACTCTTGCGGCTGCGGCCTGTCTGTCGATTCTGCTACGACTGCTAATAGCCAAATTGAAGGAATCGACCGGGTGGGTACATAACCGTGCTATTGAACCGGTTAGGGTTGTGTGGTTAATTCGAATGATTAAATTATTTTTTATTAATATATTTGATGACGTGTCATGTTGACTGGACAAAAGTAACAACTTTTTGGACGAAATTGGACGGATTGACCTCTTTGTTATTTTCTCAATTTTATATTACTGAAACGTGCAAAATTAAAGAATTTTGACCATTTATGATAATTACCCAAGAAGAAACACAAGCACTAAGACTAGGATACTAAATGATTGTATAATAGATTGTAGTATACTGAACATGGTCGGGTACGCGATTGTATTCTAGGTTCGGGTTCCATAGCTTGGACATTTGTAAACAACCAATTTTGTATTAAATATTTAGAGAGTCAATTATTAACTCCCTTTTGTAATAGCAACACCTTCTTTTACAATGTGGTTATGAGATATATATCTTGTCATTTATAGTTGTATACTACTATACTACCACACTATATATGGTATGTTTCCACACCGTCATGATATAATTTTTTGTACACTATAATATATTGACAAAAAATTCTTTATCAATTTTTTTTCTTCAAAATATATCAAAGTGGATGTCATTTTTTAAAATAGAAGTAATTTATTTTTATATGGAAAAAAAATTGAAATCCAAATTAAAATGAATGAAACATAATAGGAGAATAGTTATGCAAAGGTTAGTAAACACCAAGTTTGCTCTAAGAGAAAACCCATATATCTATGACCATTTACTTATTGAATTAATAGTTGTAAGACGCTAGGATTTGGTATTTAACCCACGCTTTTATTGTCAAATTGTATGATGACTCACAATTGGGGTGTGAAGAGTGTTGGACGAGCTATACTAGAAGATGTCAGATGACTTGCTCGGCAAGTCGACTTCTGTTTTTCGTTTTGGCCTCCTTGGAGTTTTAACAGAGCTGTCGATCTTGAGGCTAAAGAGGCTCTTTCATTGGTAGTTCGACTATTGGTCGATTGCCTCCCGTGATTGTTTTTATGTACTCTAACTATGTGATTGAATGATTATTCGTTCGTCTATGTTAAAAAAAAAAAGAACGAAAACTCGTCAACGAAAAACTGGAAGGAAAGGATCAACAGGAAATCAATGGGAAATTGAAACCAATGATAAACAAAATCTAAAAATAAAGATTTACTTTAATTAAATTTCAACAAGTACTTAAATTGGATTCGGTTAGTGGTTCCTTTGAGGCTTTGAAAATGATTCTACCACAATATGACCAATTATTTCCACAAGGTTTCAACTGTGAAAAGAGAAAACAAATGGTAGCCCACCAAGCTCTCTCTGCCTTCTAAATTAGGCCACTCTTGTTGCTTAATTAATATCCACATGGAAATTTTAATTGTTTTTCATATCTTGTGCTTGATCTATTATTATTCCTATTTAACCCTTATTTTTTGTGGATATGGTTGTGGTGCTATCTTAAACTTTTATCATCTTGCATGCACCCCCAGAAACATATCCCCTTTCTCATGTCATCTTTCTGGGTACCTCCAGGATTGCTTTGATATTCCCAGATTTTTTTCCTTTTCTTTTAAGCTTTAATTCATTCGTTCATTCATGAGATTTATAAAATAAGATTAAAAATTAAAAAAGCCATAAAAGAAAAAATTGAGGAAGAGGTGGAGTTTTTGTAATAAAGAGAAATAAAAAGAAAATATTATAGGCAAGTTGTGGTGAAAGAGATAAAATTATGGTGAAATATGTGTTCATCCTGTTCCTCTCTTTCGCGACGATAGTTCCATGTTTGCTTGCAAATATTGCATATTATGATGACGTGTGGCAAAAGAGGGCGGAGGAGGCTAAGAAGAACACCTTGGAGGCTTACGTTCCTAATCCACTAGAAACGGATGAAGATGCAGACTCTCAATCTGTGCATATGTATGAGCTTTCTTTTAGAAATGTTATCTCTCAACTTCTTTGAATCACGCAAACAATAAAAGAAAAAAGATTTTGCGACTGAAAACCAGTGTCGCCAAAGACAACAAAATAGTTGTTAAATCTTATGGCAATTATTTTGTTGCTTTTAGCATATACTCTTTTTTCCATCATAAAGCTCTTTTGCTTTCTTCGTTGATTAAAAAGAAAACTATTTTTCTTATGGTACCAACATCTTATTCTTTTCACTAAATTTTAACTTTGTATTTACTCAATGACAAATACATCTAATGTTTTTCTTCTTCTCTTGGGTTGCTTTGTTAATTCTAGTGGTTCCCCTCCACCTACATCAATGGGTCCGTCCTCGAGTACGGGTGTTCTAGTGATCAAAGGTGGCGACAATAATAATAGCAGCACCGAACAAACTGTCCCAGAAAGTGAAGTAGAGAATAGCGGTGGTGGAAATAGCAACACTACGAGGAGAGGTTTGAGGCAAGGCAAGACCAAGTACAGAGGGCCATGCGAGAAGACCAATCCCATCGACAAATGTTGGAGGTGCAGGAAGGACTGGTCAAACGACCGACGTCGTCTGGCCCAATGTGCACTTGGGTTTGGTCGCAAAACCACCGGAGGGGCAGATGGGAGGCTTTACGTCGTCACTGATAACAGTGACGACGACTTCCTGAACCCTAGACCGGGGACTTTGCGCTATGCGGTGATTCAAAGGGAACCTTTGTGGATCATATTTGCGCATGATATGAACATCAAGCTGAACAAAGAGCTTATCATGGCGGGAAACAAGACCATCGATGGTCGTGGAGCAAACATCCATATCGCTTATGGTGCAGGCATTACGATACAATTTGTTAGTAATGTTATCATCCATGGGATTCACGTCCATCATGTTGTGCCCACGAGCGGGGGCTTGATCAGGGATTCAGTCGATCATTTTGGGTTTAGAACTCAAAGTGACGGCGACGGGATCTCGATTTTTGGGTCCACTAACGTTTGGATCGATCATGTCTCGATGTCAAATTGCACAGATGGTTTGATTGATGCAATTCAAGGATCTACCGCCGTCACCCTCTCGAACTGTCATTTCACCCACCACAATGATGTAAGTGCAATATTTATTGTTGGTAAACTCGACCAAGTGGTTCTTGACATGATATCATAGCCTTTGATGACCGAAAGCGTCTCGCGTATTTCAATACCGAGGGCTGCCATTTGCTAAGAAAATGGTATTCGGACCTGTGCAAACTTCAAGCACATATGAGTTGGCTTTCTTTCGGGGAGGCTTGTTAGTAAATGATAAATGGTCCAGAACTGTACATCTCCCAACAACTCGAGTTATTGGGTTAAGCAAATGGTATTCGGACCTGTGCAAACTTCATGTCCATATGAGTTAGCTTTCGTTTGAGATGATGTGTTAGTAAATGATATGTGATCAAGAATTGAACATCTCCCAACAACCCGAATTATTGGGACAAACTGGTTCTTCACGCTTATAAGTTATGAATGAATTTGACCCACCCACAATAGTGTGACAAGCTCAAGCCATTTTCTCATTCTTGAACAGGCGATCTTGTTGGGGGCAAGTGATAGCTTTTCAGGAGATCAATTCATGCAGATCACAGTTGCATACAATCATTTTGGACAAGGGCTGGTGCAGAGAATGCCAAGGTGCAGATGGGGTTTCTTCCATGTGGTCAACAATGATTACACCCATTGGCGTTTGTATGCTATTGGAGGTAGCAAACATCCCACCATTATCAGCCAGGGCAATCGTTTCATCGCCCCACCCGAGAAGGAGTTGAAGCAGGTAATTAATATATAACTGTGATGTCAAAGTTTGGAAATGAAGCTCTTTTAATGTATGGGGTTCTCTTGCAATGAATTAATCTTCGAGTGATGTTATGAACGAGTTAATTTTGCACGACATGTAGGTGACCAAGAGAGACTATGCAGCAGAAACTGAATGGAGGAATTGGATATGGAGATCAGAGGGTGACTTGTTCATGAATGGAGCATACTTCATTGAATCAGGGAATCCAAGTTTGAAGCCAAGACCAGCTAAAAAGTTCATGCTCACGCCAAAACCAGCAGTGTTAGCGACGAGGATGACAAGATATGCTGGAGCACTAGAGTGCACAGCTAGGCAACCGTGTTAGGCAAGCTAAAGCAATCAAAACAAGAGAAAGAAGCCTTTAAAAGAAGGATGTTATGGATACATGATTTGTACATTAAGAAAATACTCTATTTGTGATTGGTGACGAGGAGGCTCCAATGGCCAGATTCCTTTTTTATTTATTTCGTTATTGTTGTTTATTTTCGAGTTGTGTTCAAAATTCATTTTTCTATATATCTTGTTGTGATTTTGCTGTTGTTGGAAGTGGGATGATATGATCATACAAATCATGAAAAGGTATACATGTTATTTTATGTTCTAGAATCAAACAATCCTTTTTGTTTCCCAAGAATATTATAATGAATAATATTCATATGATCGTCACTTTAATAACAAAGCCATTTATGAAGTGCTCTTATTAAAACTAGCTAGCATGTGTGTTCTTATCGTACTCAATTCTTTCGTTCAATTTCAAGTCGTACACAATTTTTTCATGTTCCAAATTTGATCAGGTACAAATCAAACTCGATTCGTTCATTCAATCGCAAATTTTGGAAAACATTATCTTGCCATGAATAACACTTATTTTATTATCTCTAGTTGGCTTGTTTAAATCTCTTCATATCCAAAATGATCATTAAAAAAATCAAGTTGACTGGTGAATTCACGTATCAAATTATGTTTAACATTAAATATTTTAGAGTCTAGAGTGATCCAATCTCTCAAGCTAGCAAATTTTGTATCAAATGTATTTTTTTTGCAATCCCTGCTATTTTTTTATTCACGCCGAAAATATTTATGAACGTTAAATTATTATTAAAAATATATTTTTAATTGACAATTGCCTGGTGTAAAAGTATAAAATATTTAAACTTATTAATTAATTATTTTTAATTGCCATATCACCATTTTAAGTCTAAAAAATAACTATTGACCGCCACATATGACACATTTAATGGAACTAGATGAGAGTGACCACAGATGATATAAGTGTGTAGTTTTGATGGCAAATTTGAAGGAATTTTTTTTCGAGTGACATATGTGAAACAAACTTGTAATATGAGTGACCAAACTTGCAATTCACCCTATCATAAGCTCATGTAACAATATCCAAATGAGAATTTTCAAAACTGTTCATCCAAAAATAAATTAGTTCGGTCTGACATGTAAGTTCCAGTACTTGATTGCTTTTACTGAATACATGTTAGAGTCTATTGTGAACCCGGCGCTTTAATAATTTAATACTAAAATTGAAATATATTTTTCTTAAAACTTAAATATTTTTTGTTAACAATCTTCTTAGCTTTTAAAATAGTTCGGCTTGTAAACTCGAATCACAGAATACAAAATATATGCTACTATATTGTTATATTCATATTTGGAAATGAGATATTTTTAAATACTAATGTAAAGACTACGAATCATAAACTACACATAGGAAAAATAAGAGGGTACATCCATCAACAAAAGGAAGAAAGAAAGAGACAAATTTTACAAACACTTGCCAAGAAAACCAAGAGACACTTTCCTTAACACCAAAGCTTGCCTCAACATTCCCAACCAATATTAGGTGATATGATCATATATATGTTAGTGACTCATCATTTACACACTTAGCTGATAGGTAAATTGCTCGTGATTAGGACATTCTAATGTTTTATGCCATATAGCCAAATATGTACATATATCAAATAATTTTAGAAAAATGGAAAATCAATTGGAAAAAATTGACCAAGTCAATAATATCCATTTTATTGGGAAAAAAGCCCCAACGTAATCAAGCAAAATACAAATTTAGTTGTCAATTTGACTTAATCAACAAACTTAATTGAGACATATAGGGACAACACAAGGAATATTATTCAATTTGATGATTTTTTTTTCTCACTTTAAATTCGATGATTTCGATCTGGCATATTATGGCATTGCTTTGAGGCTGCTGTTTTGTGGATGGATGTGGCGTGTGAAAGACGACCACTCTACTTTGCCCATTGTAGGCTGAGATTATTTAGGCATTGTTAAACACTTAATTTGGTTTCTTCATAATTATTTCTTTTTGGAATGCCCTTGTTGAAGAATATGACCAAGTCTACAAACAGTACAAATGCATCATCCCTAGCTAGCTAATGGACCTTCTAATGTATAGTACTATGTACGTAATACTGGACTCCGTTTAACCCTTCAACATTTACTAATGAATTCTCCAATATCTACAACGACTTTTGGTATTATCATGTAGTCTAGCTACTAAATCTTATTAATGTTTATTAAAGTGTCCTTTAATGATCAAACCGAAAAACAGATCGACCTATTAATGCTTAAATTGAATTATTACAAAAACTATAATTAGCGTTGGAAAAAGAGCGACCTAATGTCTAAAAAGGGACCCTTAATCACAACTAATGAAGATGGTTGATCAATGCCTGCAAATGAGAACCACAATACTCCATAATATGCCCTATAATTAATGTGACCCCAAAATCCTACCACACCAATTTATTCCAACGAAGGAATTATTGCTTAACAGGAATATATAAATGTCTACAAACAACATTCCTACTGACCCCCTAATGTTTACTAATGGTACCCGATAAGTCTAATAATTAACCCTGATTAATTAAGCTTAGCCGCTGAATTAGATCACCATACATAGGCAGTTTAGGAATTCAGATACAGTTATTACCGCAGTTAAAAGAAAAGGTTAAAAGCTGTTTTAAGCTTGGCTTTTTCAGTATTAAATTAGTGAAGTTACTTAAGCAGAGGCGATTCCTTCTATAAAAAGACAGCCTATCCCATTCAAATCCTGTAGCGGGAAAATTACATTTAGTAACGAACTTTCTCCTGTTTTGTCATCATCTCCAGGTGGGGAGGTGGCGTGGGATATGATTTTCTGAAAAATCGATGACACCAAATCCGACTCTATCCTTCCTTCCTTCCATCTCCATCCCCACCACAGAAACACACAAAACCACCAACTGTGTTATGTGTTTCATAATTGGGAATTAAAATAGTAACACTAATCAGCAAATAATTAATTATGTTGATAATCACAATATTTTATTATTAAGATTTCTAATTCACACTGTGGGATGGACGCAAGCAGCCGCAAGTGTACATATCGATTGATCCAAAGAAGAGTAGCTGTTACGAAAGCTGTACAGTGTCTACTCGTTGCGTCTTAAGTAGGGGGCATGCAGCTCTAGCACAGATCTGTAGCCATATACTGCCCCATCACATTCACACCTTAATTTTGTCATTACAATTCGACTGTCAAATCTATATATGTACCAAGTCTCTTTCAAATACGTATAACTCAGACAATCCATAGCTAAATTATCGCATTCGAATTGAATTTTAGGACATTGTATCTCACACACGCATATATGTAGCAACAACGGGGTAAACTCCTCGAATAAATTATATTCTAAGTGGTTTGGCTGTTACATATAATTCGTTGTATTTCAACAAATCAAAATCGTCGATTATTTAAAAAAAAATTGATTTATGGGTTTGGGTTTAGAAAATCAAAATATGAATTTCATCCATTAGATATTAGTGTACAATATCATATTTAATTAAAAACTCAATTTAATTTTAAACTCAATTTAATTTATAGTTTAAATAGAGATATATCAATAGGACTAAACTTCAAGAGTATAACAATCATATCTCAAGTTCAGCTTAAATTATGATCTAAATAAAGATATTTCACTAATTAAGTTTAATTCAAAAGCCTAAGTGAACTAAAAAGGTTTAATTCATGTTACTTATTATTTACCAACAACATAAAGTTTTATATGCACATGCAGTCGTAATCCTGGAATGTACTGTAAAATGTCCTTTTTTAGTTCACTTTATTAGAGGCTTGAAATTAAAGTAGCATTCTTCTATATATTTTCATGAGCATGCCTCATGGTCAATTGGTCATGGGTGTGCCTAATTAAGCAACAACCCACGGCACAATTTCCAGCTTCCATCCCGCGTTCTCAATCTCTTCTTCTATCTGGTCCTTTTCGATATTCTCCATATTACTAGCCAACCTTCCTGACTCGAGGGAGTTGCAAAATGCTGTTGCCAAATTAGAGAATCTGCATACTGACCAATATATAGTTCCATTGGCAGTATGGGTTCAATAGTTGATTACATAAAAATGGTCACCAAAGTTTTGCGTCACTTATATACAAGGGTTAACGTTTGATTTTTAACACAGCAAAAAATTACATTTTTAACACCCTAAAGAATGAAACTGATAATCATTCCATCAACACCCATAAATTTTGCCATCCCAGTCAATCATGTTAACATGTCACGTCACCCAAATTCATATAAAAATAATGGCAGTAACACATTTCTAATAATCCTATCCAATCCCAAACTCTGATTTTTGTTTCAGAAGTTGAACTATTTGAACAACATGTAAAAAGATTGTAGCAAACTTGCAACAAAGATCGCTTAAAAAACTTTGTCAATAAAACTCTTATTAATTTCTCTCCCCCGTTCAAATCAACTGTTCACTCCCAGCTGTTTAAGTTTGGACTAATCATACTAGTAGTTTCAAGGACCTTAAACTGGGACTTGTTTAATCAATCACCAAGCTCTTGTTGTGATTGCAACAAGTTGGATTATGTACAACTCTCAATTAATGGAGAGTTAGATTATGTAAAACTAAACTAATAACACGACAAGCAAAAGCACTGTAGGCCATATAGAAACCAGCCATTTCCCGACAGAAAATTAGCTGGCAAATTAACCCATTTTTTTATTAGTGCATCTTTGTGCAAAAATCATGGCCGGCTACGTCATTTGAGCAACAACAACAAATTAATTTACAGCACTCGGACAAAAATAAAAATAAAAATGAAAACCACATCAAATAATAGGTTTATAAATAATGGACATTGGTTGTTCCACCATTTGTCTCTCCACCCTTACTCTTAACTTCTACCATCGCTAGCCAAAAACCCAAACAGATACTCTCGAAGAAATTGAGAGGAGAGGAAGAAAGATAGAAGATAGAGAGAGAGCAAAAGCTAGCAAAAAAGGTACTGGGATCTCATACATGGAAATGACGATGTTGGTTAAGAATGAAGAGTTGTTGGGGAGCCGTGGCGGCGGCGGCCGGGGGCTGTCGCTAGGGGTTGATGGTAGTACTGGTGGTGATCAGGCTCACCGGACGGCGGCGGCTCGGTCGGTGAAGAGGAGGAGGAGAGATCAATCTGCTGCTTCTGCTTCACCGGCCGGGAGCCAAAAGAGTGACGGGAGTACTCCTCAAAGTAGTGATGGCCAACAGCAGCAGCCGTCTAATGCCCCAGCCTCTACTGTTAAAAGAAGCTCCAGGTTCCGAGGTGTCAGCAGGTACGTAACTAAACCTCTCCCTTACTGTAAGAGCTAAACTTTTTGTGACCACAAAGTTGGTCGCCAAAAGTGGAAAATTGGTTGTCACGACCATTTTTTGTCTCAAATTTTTTTGAAAACCCTTATTAAGTTCTCTACGTGTACACCATATCAAAATTTGAGGATGGTGAAGGATGAGTAAATGTCTTGTTCAGTTATTCTTACCTTTTTTTTTTTTTGCGCCTTTCTGGGGGCAGACATAGATGGACAGGGCGATTTGAAGCACATTTGTGGGACAAACTGTCCTGGAATGTCACCCAGAAGAAGAAAGGAAAACAAGGTAATTAACATATTGTTATATTTGTTTCGTCTTTCATTTTCTTGCTACTATACTAGCTATTTTGTCACAGAAACTGACATGTTCATTTGTCTTCATGAAACTTTGCAATTTGGGGATTCCTTATCATCAACAGTTTATCTTGGTGAGTCAGTCACTCATATATAATGAAAACTCTATATATTTACTAATTTTTTACTTACTTCAAGAGTATTCCTTTAACATATTTCTTCTTTTTTTGGATAATTTCTTAGGAGCTTATGACGTTGAAGAAGCAGCAGCTAGGGCTTACGATTTGGCAGCACTCAAGTATTGGGGTCCCTCAACTTTCACCAACTTCCCGGTATGTACTATGATTGGAAAATGTTGAAATAGAAATAATTAATTACATTTGTTGAGTTAGTAGAGACAACTATAATCAATAACATCATCTTACAATGATATATTTTGTGTTTAATTACATATAGATATCGGATTATGAGACGGAGATCGAGATTATGAAAACAGTAACTAAAGAAGAGTATCTGGCCTCCTTAAGAAGGTAACTAAAATAATTACTCCAAACAAATCAACCTTATATTCACTCTACTATCAGCAATGGCCTGAACACATTATTTTTTGGTCACAGAAAGAGTAGCGGCTTCTCTAGAGGCGTATCCAAGTACCGTGGAGTTGCGAGGCACCATCACAATGGAAGATGGGAAGCCAGAATCGGGAGAGTTTTCGGCAACAAGTATCTTTACCTCGGCACTTACAGTAAGTTCAACCACTACTATATATACTCTCACTCATTGATAGTAGGCACAACAAAAATCACCGTTACGTACAGAACGAAAAATTACCGATACAAAAAAGTATGCAATCCATAGATAACAAAAACCAGTTGCATGACATATAATCCTACTTCAAGTCATAGCAACAATTTTGAATAAGAGAACATATATTTATAGCAAAATTGTCATCCTTTGAACGTGCAGGCACTCAGGAGGAGGCAGCTAGGGCTTACGACATAGCAGCAATCGAGTACAGAGGTATCAACGCCGTCACGAACTTCGACCTAAGCAGCTACATCCGGTGGCTGAAACCCGACGTCGCCGCTCAAGTCGCCGCCAAAGAACAACACCACCACCACGAACCACACACAATAATCGACTCCCAAGAACTAGTACTAAACACCACCAACAACAACATCCCAACAACAATAACCAACAACTTCCTCCACACTTACGACCACAACAGCAACAAATCCTCCTCCTCCTCATCACCACCACCACCACCGTTCTTCCACACCACCTCCTCCACCGCTCCCCCGTTCACCGCCGATTACTTCGGCGGCGCGACCACCAAGCAGGCGGAGCTCTTCCAGGACTACCTCAGCTCGCCGACCAAGCAGCAAGTTTTCCAGGAAGCCGCCGCCATCAACAACAACAACAAGAGCAGCTCTTGTTCTTCCACGTCATCCGCCATGTCATCAGGTGGCGGCGCACCGTCGGCGCTGGGGCTCCTGCTGCGGTCCACCATGTTCAGGGAGCTGGTGGAGAAGAACGTCGTCTCGGAGGACGTCGACGTGGGGAGGATCGGCGGCGGTGGAGGAGGGCACGTGATGAACGGCGGCGGTGGTCATGAGGATGACTACGGAGGGATATTTTACGATGGGATCGGTGATATTCCGTTTGTTTACTCTTCCAATAATGCCAAGGATGATGGGATTGAGCTGCATGAAAGGGAGCTCCAGTTCATTTTCTAGATACCCATTATTACAACTGCTTTAGGGTTTACTTGAGAAACAAGGAAAAGGAGGTCGTGGGATGAGTACGTAGCGTGCATGCATGGGATCGATGGAGGGGCCCATGCATTCTGATGATGACGTGGAGCGAGCAACTTTGTTCTTTCCTGGCGTAATTAAGAGTGCCTCTTTCTGGACAAAGAATAAAGACGGGGAGGCATTTAAGAGAGTTAATGGATTACTGATGATGATGAGGTAGGAAGCAACGTCAACGCAGGTTGTAGGAGTTTGTTGAAGATAATTTGGTCAGTGCTACTTAATTAGGGTTAATTAACGACTTTTATGCTAATAATTACTGTGGAATAGTACTGCAAAATTCCACCTGTGTAATTCATAGTGATTAATAATTATCAATCTACAAAGGATTGCCATCGGGCGGTCCTTGTTCTCTTGTTAGCTTAATTTCTTTTACGTAGAATTTATAGTGCTTTTCATCTTAATGAATCCACCGAGTTACATATTTGATAGTTCTCTGGCGTATTTTATCAAACTTGAAGACGACAATGATATTCAATGAATAACTAATTCAAAATTAGCATTCAGAACATAATCAATTATTTATTATTAGCGGCGGATCCAGAACACAGAAGAGCACTGGACCGCATTTCATCATAAAATTAAACCAAAAAAAATATAGTGATTATAGTTTTTTTTACAATGTCAGTTTTATACAAAGGTATTTTAATTTAGCGAATGCATCAATAATGAAGTCCACATCCATACCAATACTATATACTATTTCAAATAAAATACTTGAGCAATCGGCGAGAAATTCATCGCTCATTTTGTTGCACAAATAAGTTTTCACATGTTTCATTGTTGAAAAGGTTCTCTCCGTAGTAGATGTTGAAACGAGCAGCGTCAATACTTGACAAATCAATCAACTAATCAATTTGCATTGTGTGTCCATCCCTACATCAACCAGCTGCTCTAGTAAATTCTCAAGGGAAAAAACCTCATATTTCTTTTAGTTTTTTATATTTTGACTTTTAGAATTATAGGTTTCATTGTTGTTTTAGACGAATAAACTTTGGGGCTGGAATTTCTATACTAAATTTAGACTAGTGATTTGATTATGTTCATCTGAATCATTTTTCTAATTATACGCAATCTTATTATAAAATAACACTAGGCCAAATGAATAAAATCAAAAAATTCATAAGGACTATACTAACACTGGATCCAGAGGAGGGCTGGACCGGAGCCCGGGGTGGCCACCTCCTCGATCCACCACTGACTATCATTGATAAGAAGACTAATAAACAAAGTAGATGAAGTAAAAAATAATTACTAAATATAATTTATTGATATTCGTTCACATTATAGTAATCTTTTTTTAATAAAATTTATGGTTAAAATAATGAATCGATGAACTAGCCAAACGGAGGCGATTCATTTGGTTCTGTCCAACTTTTAACTTTTTTTGATGCACTAGTGACCATCCAAAACAAACGAACCGACTTACTATTGTAACTACATGGTTGTTCTATCGATCTCACCTTATAACAAGGCACTAAACACTTGCCTGATATCTAAAACATGTCAAAAAGTCATTTATTAAATTTTTTTGTTGATTCGTCGGTATACAAATTGATTTTCTTACTTCCAAATAAGTATTCTAAAATCACACTGAAAGCTTTATATAAAAATAATTAGCGATAAAGTATTTTATACTGAAATTATAGTTTACTATTGTTCAACCATTTCATACCACTAAAACTATCTATCGATTTAAATTTTAAACTCCAGTAGTACATTTTTCGAATCGGATGCCGGTACGATCCAATTTTACAAACCCGGCTTCCAAAATACACCTTAAATATCCGTAAAAAAATCAAATAAAACAAACGAAAATTAAAAAATCTGAAGATAAATTAATATAATGAGGCCGCCAGGAACATTGACGAAAATAAAGTCCAGCCCATTATGCCATTACTTCTGTCTACTCAGTACTCACTAGGCCAGAATCCCAATTCCGGGCCCAATCCCACGCCAGGTCTTACTGATTTCCTCACGCGCCCGGAAAGGAAAAGACTCCTCTGCTACGACTGTCTTCTCTCTTTCCACATCCCCTCACTCTGCTTTTCCCCAGTCATCTTTGTTTCTTCTCCTTACCCTGCAAGTTTTCTTCTTCACTGGTCACGCACTGACTGGAACCTCATTGCGCCTATTTTTCACTCTCTTTTCCTCCGCGCATGGAAAACAAACAGTCGCGTTACCACAGCTTGCGTTAATTTGATTTCCTTATTTCACTCAGGTTTGCTTCATAAACCCCCGTGATCGATTTCGTAAACCAGCAACAATGGCGACGCCGAGGGAGCACATCGAGCAACTTCGTCGTCGGACGTTCTCGATCGGAGATGACGAGGAAAATCCATTGGCCGCCATGCTCGATCAAGCGGTCAAGTACCTCTCCGCTGAACTCTACGCCAAGGACGTCCACTTTCTGATGGAGCTCATTCAGGTTTTGCTTCAGTTTCTGCTTGATTTCTTTGAAAATTTTAGGTTGGTTCTTTTGAAAGGTGGCATTTATGGTTGATTTTGCAGAATGCGGAAGATAACGAGTACTCGGAAGAAGTTGATCCTTCGCTGGAGTTTGTCATAACGTCTCGGGACATCACCGGAACCGGAGCGCCGGCGACGCTACTGGTCTTCAACAACGAGAAGGGGTTCTCGGCTAAGAATATTGAGTCTATCTGCAGTGTTGGAAATTCGACGAAGAAAGGCAAAAGGAAACGCGGCTACATTGGGGAGAAAGGTTCTTTTCGTGTGCTTCTATATCTCTATATATTTTAGGCTTGTTTCACTGTTGTTTAATATGCAATTTTGTCTTCTTCTTGTGTATTTTAACCTAGAGTTCAATATATGAGTAATCAACAGTTGTGATGGTTGCTAATAGAATTCTAGTGATTGCCCTTCCAAGTATGGGAATAGGACGTGGAAACATTTTGGGGGAACATTAACAGTAAATCAATCCTCTGGCTGTTTCTAATGGCCATGTTTTTTTTTACATGATTGCAGGAATTGGGTTCAAGAGTGTGTTTCTGATCACGTCTCGACCTCACATATTCAGCAATGGATATAAGATTCGGTTCCATGAGAAGCCACGCCTGCCCTGCAAGCTTGGGTACATTGTTCCTGAGTGGGTTGATGATGACAAGCCTTCTGTTGCAGATATACAACAAGTGTATGGTTCTTCGAGACTTCCCACCACTACATTGGTATTGCCATTGAAGCCTGACAAGGTGAAACCAGTGAAGGAGCAACTGTCCGGTGTTCATCCTGAAGTCTTGCTTTTTCTCTCAAAGATAAAGCATCTTTCTGTAAGGGAAGAGAACGAAAATCCCAAGCTAAACGTGGTTTCCGCTATTGCTATTACTAAGGAGGTTGATTACGTGTCTAGGAAGAACATTGATGCTGAGTCCTACAGCCTTCACCTGTCTGCTGAGAGTAAGGGTGATGGTGATGATGGCCAGTGCAGCTACTATGTGTGGAAGCAGAGGTTTCCGGTGAAAAGGGAAAATATTGTTGAGCAGCGAATGGATGTGGAGGAATGGCTGGTGACTTTAGCTTTCCCTTATGGAGAACGTCTTCACAAAGGAGGGCATTCGCCTGGAGTCTACGCATTTCTTCCTACAGAAATGGTTACTAATTTTCCCTTCATCATTCAAGCTGATTTCATTCTGTCGTCGTCCAGGGAAGCTGTGCTGCTTGATAACAGATGGAATCAAGGGATTCTCGAATGTGTACCTGCAGCATTCGTTAATGCGCTAGCTGCTTTGGTTAAAACCAGTGAAGATGCTCCAGTTTCTAGTTTGCCTCCGATGTTTCGGTTTTTGCCTGTCGAGACCTCTACTTATCCCTTCCTAAATGTTGTGAGGGAGTCAATTCAATTGAAGTTAGCTGAAGAGAGCATCGTACCTAGTGAATCTTACAAGGAGCAGAAGTACTTTCACAAGCCCCGTGAAGTTAGCCGGCTTTTGCCTGCTTTTTGGGATATCCTGAAGGCGGCCAGGCAAGAAAATGTCAACCTTCACAATCTTTCATCCCACGGGTGCTATATCCTTGCCTCTTCATTTGACCGGAGTAAGTATGACAAGGTTCTCAAATTCCTGGGTGTGGGATTCGTGGTAGATGAATGGTATACAAAGTGCATCCAAAGCTCTAATCTCGTGAAGGGAATCTCAGATGATCTATACATAGAACTTCTCCATTTCATCGCTGCAAATTGGTCAACAAACTTGAAGAACACAAACTTGAGGGGTGTGCCCCTGCTGAGACATGTTGGTGCTAATGGGAATATGGGTATCTGCAGCATTAACGAATCTGCCGAAAAGAAAAGTGGGAGATTATTATGTCTATCAGGGGAGTCTTCATATGCATCAATGCTTATCGATTGGAATAACGAGTTTTGGCACATAACACCTGTCTTTTTCCTCCCAGAAGCAATACAGGATGCACTCAGGTCATCTGAAAGGAGGAGATCTGTGCTAGAATGGCTTAAAACTGTTGCAGGGCTTGTTGAGTTGAACCCGTGTGAATATTCAAATTCTCTTAGGGATCATTTAGGTACTGACCAGAAGCTTGTTGTGGCCTATGCTCACTTGTTGTATCGTTCACACAATGCCGAATTTCTGACTGACCAGGAGGTTGATAATCTGTGCGAGGACATGCCACTTGTTGATAGCTATGGGAATGTTATCAATGCTTCCGATCATTTCATCCTCGTTCCTGGTGCTGAAAGCAGATGGCTGGAATTGATTGGTTCTAATCCCTGGAGAGGAGAGGGTTATATCGAGTTAGGGGAAGAGTACTTACAGAAGGCATGTTTTTGTGGTCAAACATCAGGAGGCGAATCATTCTTGGAGTTTCTTGAATATCATGTTGGAGCTTCTGATATTCCTGATTTATCTCCTCCCAATGCCGGGATTCCTACGGTGTCAGGACCACTGACCAAGAAGAATGCGATTTTATTGTTAGATTGGATAAACAGTCTCATAACCAATCGAATAACAATACCAGAGAAGTTCTTAACTTGCATAAGCAATGGCAGCTGGTTGAAGGTTACAATGAATGGGTCTTCTAGTTATAAGGCACCATCACAGTCATTCTTGCTCTCGCCGAAGAAGAAAAACTCTAAATGGGGAAGTATTTTACAGGATGGATCTGTGGTAGTTGATATTCCTTTAGTGGATCTGAACTTTTATGGTGAAATTATTAATGATTATGAAGTGGCACTCAAAGAAATAGGAGTGATGTTCGAGTATGATGAAGCGTGTGAATATATTGGTCAATGCCTCATGTCACATGTTAATTCCTCCACTTCAACAAGAAGCACTGTATTTTCAATGCTTAAGTTCCTCAGATTTCTTAGGGAAAAATTCTTGGCCCCAGATCAATTTATTTCAAGCATTAAAGGAGGAAAGTGGCTACAGACGACATCACATGGTTACCACTCTCCTGAGGAATGTGTTCTACGTAAGGGGCAATGGGCAGTTGCAGAGCAAATCAGTGAACTTTACTTCATCAATGATGCTTATTATGGACCGGAGATTAATTCCTTCGAAGATGAACTCAAGTGTCTTGGTGTAAGAGCTTGCTTGACTGGTAGCCACGATCTTATTGTCCAGCACTTGAAATCGAGTGCTTGCTTGTCTGGTGATTTGACAAAGGAAGCTCTCTTCCTGATCTTCGAATGTATGCGGAATTCCAAGGCTGCTGCTTCCAAAGTTGTTGGCACGATACAACAAGCTAGATGTTTGAAGACCAACGTTGGTTACAGGTCCCCTGGCGAATGCTTCTTGTGTGACCCTGAATGGGGCAGCCTTCTGGAGGTTTTCTACGGTTCCTCCCCAATCCTTGATCGCAACTTCTATGGTGATGAAATCATCGACTTCAAGTCGGAACTAAAACAATTGGGTGTGAAGGTCGATTTCGAGGATGCCACCAAAGCTTTCGTGAGTACTTTCAAGCAGCAGGCATCGTTGTCAAAGATCACAAAGACACACGTCCTGTCATTTCTTGCCTGCTACAGACGTCTGAAGGTACTTAAGAGACCTCTCTCTGATATCAAAACCTGCATTCTGTCTCAGAGGTGGCTCTGGACAAGGCTTGGTGTTTATAGATCTCCAAGAGAGTGTATTCTGTTTGGCCCTGAGTGGAAACCTCTCCTTGCAATTACTCGTCTTCCTTTCCTCGATGATAGTTACAGCAGCAATGGCTACGGGAAGGATGTTGTTGACGAGTATGCAAGAGAGCTCAAGCTGTTGGGTGTGGTTGTTAGTTTGAAAGATGGGGCTAAGTTTGTGCCTTTCTGTCTTTATTTCCCTGAGGATCCATCCACCATCGCTCCCTCAAGTGTCCTGTCACTGTTACAATGCATCAGGATTCTACTGGAGCAGAAAGATTATTCATTTCCCGAGTCTTTTATTGGTAAGGTCTCTAGCGAATGGTTGAGAACTTGTGTTGGTTACAGGGCTCCAAAGGATTGCTGCTTGTTTGATTCCTATTGGGAGATGATGGGTCTGAAGCCAATTGATGGACCTTTCATTGACGAATCTTTTTTCGGCCCCAAATTGTTATCTTATAAAGAAGAGCTAAGAAAGATAGGAGTTCGCACTAAACCGGAAGAGGTATGCAAGATACTTGCCAGACAACTTGGTGAGAACTTGGAATCAACCTCCATAGTGAGAATATATAATTTCTTGGGACAACAAAAATGGAAGCCTGAGAATGATGAATCGAAGCAGAGGATATGGTTTCCTGACGAGTGTGGCCGCTCTGGGAAGTGGGTGAATCCCGAAGAATGCGTTCTACGTGATAGAGACGATCTCTTTGGCTCCCAACTATATGTTCTGGAGAAACACTACAAATTCAAATTACTGGATTTCTTCAAGGAAGCATTTGGTGTTAAAAGTAATCCGTCGCTTACAGATTACTGCGAGCTTTGGAAGACATGGGAAAGATCTGGTCGCAGTTTGACACCTTCCAAGTGCTGTTCTTTCTGGAGTTTTATTGTTATGAACAGCCACCAAGTGGACAAGGAAAAACAAATTCTTGCTGGAGAGATGTCGAGGCTGCCAGTCGTTTCTGGTGAACAAATTGTGTTGGCTGATAAGCACGATGTCTTCATCGCCGATGACCTTCAACTGAAAGAGCTGTTCTCCGAGTATTCTTCAATATTTGCCTGGTATCCTCAACCGAGTTCCCCGTTTTTGCCTCGCACCAAGTTGATGGAAGTTTTCAGGGGAATCGGAGTTCGTGCCATTTCCGAGTCTGTGCAGAAAGAAGAAGAGAACTCCACAGCAGCCAACAAGTGTAAACATCTGAATCACTTAACATGGAAGAATCTAGCCAAGATCATACTAGGTTTTCTAGCTCATCCATCTCTCGACATGGAAGCTAAGGCAAGGCATGATAAAGTGAAGATCCTCCTTAATCTCACTGTCCTGGAGACGGTGGAGCCATTGGCCGTCACCTACAGCCTGACTCTATCTTCAGGGGAAGTCATCAGTGTGAAAGCCACCCAAATGATCCGCTGGGATAAGGACGAGGGCAAGTTGTACACACAGAGGCTGGAGAAGGGTAGCAGAGGAAGCAGAAGTGGAAGAAATCTGCTCGAGTATGCTTGCCGTTTCTCTGAAGTAATCGCTAAGGGAGTCCTTTGGGATCAGAAAGAGGAACAAATAACTGCTCTCTCCGCGATAATCAAGCTGGCTGTTCTCGTCAAATTCGAAGGAGCAGCTGTCGACTTCCTGATGAAGGTCAATAATCTGCAGATCTTCATGGAAGATGAGGAGTTCCTCGCCTCTGCATTTCCTTCTTCGACTTAGGTACGCCCCCACTTGAACTCCGAATAGAACGAAAGAATCCGTTGCAACTGATATCATTTCTGCTCAATGTGTTTGATTTTGTTAGCTGATAATGATGCAAGTGTGTCTGTATATCCGTTCTGTATGCAGCAGGTTAAGCAGGAAGACGGACCGATGAGGCTCGAGTATGCAGTATAGCTTCAGAAATCAGACTAAGCAAAACTTACAGCCGCTCTCTGTGGCTATTTGCAGCGGCGATGTGTTTGGCTGGCAGCCTTTCTGTTTATTTAACCAGTTTCAGGTTTTCGTTGATGTAAAGTTTGTATTGGAAAAGAGGACCAGTTGATTGGGGCGGAGTGCATAGTTGGTTAATTTCTTTTTCAATTTGCTTCCATCATCCCAAAAAATGAGAGCTGTATTGGTCAATATTGTGTTGATTATGCTTGTTGCCACTGGTTTTTAACTGCCTACGCACTCAAAACCTTCTATGCATCGTGTTTGTTGCAAAGTGTAACCAGAAGTTCACTTGGTTTTCACTTCTCTGCTGTGGGTGAACATTTTGTTGAAGAAAATGCCACTTGGCAGTGTCGTATGAGCACCCCGACTATTGCAGCCATCGTCGACTTTGTTGCACATCATGGAAGGAAATCGACAGCAAGTAATCAATTGTGCTCTAAAACAAGTTATAGAACAAAGGATGAAACCCAGAATCTATGCTCTCATCATGTAAGAGCCGAGCCAGTAGAAGGATTAACAATACATGAAAGAAACAGAACAAAAACAGGCAGAGCCAACAAAAACTTGCATCCAGATTCAAGAGTTCCATTGGACTTTCTGTCATTGCACGTTCTCAATTGATCTTGGCAATAAAACCAGCATTACAGTATAAGATTTGTATGACAATGTGAGAGCCAAGAAAGTCAGCATCAACTTAAAACTCACAACCCTAATAGTGTGCTTTCAAAAGATGCACAAAGAAAAACTCTCTACCCCTTCTACTTCCAAACCATTCAAAACTGCTTCCTCTTGTTCTTAAAAAGGCTCTCCCTTTTCACATACAAATAACACACAGCAAAGAACCCTCCTGCGGATAACGAGACTGATCCCCAAGGAAACGGCGGATCTTTGAAGCAAGCAAGTGACGCCTCCAATTCCTGCGACGCACGATACACCAGCGAGTGAATGCCATACAGATCATGGTCTGAAGACCGTAAATAATACAAAGCCATCTCGAAGTCCAATCTCGACAAAGCAGAAACCGCCTTATCAATCTTATGCTTGAACAAGTTCCACCGCTGCACGAATTCCACATGCTGCTTATCCTTAAGCAGCCTCCTATCCCCGCCATGAGCTTCCATCGAGCCAAGAACTTCAATCGCACTTGTTATACTGTAATTCAACGACGTCAACAGCACATTTCTCCTAGCTGCATCCTTCTGAACAAAGGACAAGGTCGAAGACTCGGAGAAAGGACCGAAGGGTGTCTGCCCCACGCTCCAAGTGTAGTCCACTAGAGTTGTGTTGTGCCGTGGACTCCATGACAAGTGAGTTGGAGAAACTCCCCACATGCTCTGGAGAATCGAGCCAACAAGAGGTCGCTCGAGGTCTCGTGTATGAGTGAACACATGTCGTCCATTGCAGCTGTAATCGCTCACTGTCTGGGTAGTTTTTGTTCTCACTGCTACAACCATGTCTCTGAAGGAAACGGATTGATGGTATCGATCGAGCAACAGCAGCATGTTGTAATCGAGATCGAACACATAAACAGGGAGCACTGTGGCGTAATCTTCCTCTGGAATTCCAGCTACCCTTTTAAACTCTTCAGCCGAGTCTGACAATATCTGGTGCAATCGCTTGGAATCCAAATACTCACTCACGATCAATGTATAGTTATCGAACAGGAACCTCGAGGTGTACGAATTGATCGATCTTGAAATGGCATAAGAACAAATTGAACACTCCTCATATTTCACTTCATAGCTCTTGAAGCTTAGAGACTGATCACCTAGCAACAAACCATCTTCACTAGCTCCATCCCTAAAGGACCTCTCCATTGCTTTCCAGTCCAAACCAGTGGTATCCTTACCATTCTTGGAAGCATAAACATGGATGAACTGAACAATCAAGGCGCTGTCGAAGTGGACTGGAATTCTCAGTGAGGGGACGAGCAGTACCTGATAAGCACTCCAAACCAATGAAGCTAAATCAGAGAGCAGAGCCTTCTGTGACTTGGGTCGGCCGTGCATGGTCGCAAGAGGGTGAAATTCCCCTCGGGGCAAAACCCCATCGCCGGACAAAGCTGGCCCATAATCCACCGGCCCAGCGGAGAGATCAATCCAGAGGTATCTCTCCTTCCCCGTCCAAATGGTACCGGAGCATTTAGTGAAGCCAGGGGAGGAATCGCCAGGGAAATACGAATAAGCGTAGCTCTTGGACTGAGAACCCAATGAGATCAAGTAGACATAGATCCCGTGAGCGGGCTTCTCCTTATCGAATTCCTGGCGGATGATTTGGTCGACGGAGTCGTAGGGGATGGAGAGGAGGGTTGATCGGAGAGGGGAAGGGGTGGAGGCGATGGCGGATTTGATGGCGTCGGAGAGTCGGGAAGCGAGGGAAGGCGGGGAGTGCGAGACGTCGAGGTGAGGGGAGTGGCGGACGGCGAGGCGGTGGGAGCCGCTGTGAGGTGGGACGGGATCGGGGGTTATGACGTGGAAGTGGTCGGAGGTGTGGGTGGAGGAGAAGAAGGAAGAGAGGACGGCCTCGGAGTCGGCCGGGAAGGCAGAGCCGACGAGGCGGAGGTTGATCGAGAGCGGGAGCGACAGGGAGAGGAGGGAGGAGATTAGGGAATTGGTTCTGCCGGCGGCAGCGGCGGCGTGAGGGAAGGAAGAGAGGGATTTGCGGAGGGTGGAAGGGAGGGATTCGAAGGTGTCGTTGGAGGCTTGTGGGTCGATGTGGGATTGGTGGGTTAGGAAGGTGTCGAGTCCCGGAACCGGGGCGGCGACGGCGACGGCGGAGAAGAGAAAGAGGAGGAGGAAGAAGACGGTGGTGGGCATTTTGTTGGGGACGATGGTGGACTGAAAGAGAGTGTGGGAATTGACGGAGGAGATATTGGAAGCTCTGCTCAGCTCGCCATAGTGAAAACTGAAAAGAGTTCACCCTCGGTCAACTGCCTTGTTGATTTTACAGAACCGATCACTACTGTTTGAGCTGCTAACAAAATAGTCACTAATATTTGCAAAAACTAACTAGGTGATTCTTAATCTATAACATCCATTTCTCCATCCATATTCTCTGTCACTGTTCTTTCAAATCCTCTGATGAAATATAAATCAAGAATATATTAGAAACCCCAATGTGGTCTTACAAATTACAATGTCACAAATTAGTATGATGAGGAAACTTGCTAGCAGACTGCAAAGGATTTAAGGAACCAAGCTCGTACAAACACTAAAGTATGCTCCAAAAGAACAACCAAAAGTCCACAACCTATTTGAGTACTGCTCCATCAACATCTCCACTGCTGTCACCATACGATTGTTGATCCCAAAACTTGGAAGAGTTCTCATCATGATCGTCCACTCTTGACACAGGGCAAGTAGCATTGAAGAAGTCTCTGTACCGGATGAGTCCATGTCCTTCGCCCGTTGTAGCAGTCGCAATTCGAGCTCTGTCAACAGCCATACCCAAACACCCAGAGCTGGTTTCTTCAGCGTCCTCATGGTCCGAACAGACAAAGGAATTCGTTGGTGTTCCAGTACCAGCTTCCCAGACATGTATGAATCTATCATGTGGCCCTCCTGTAACAATCTTGTATCGGTCCGCATGTAGCTTTGTTACTGAACCATTATGTCCTTCTAGCTCAACCACTGGTTGTGGTTTCAACGTCTCCTGGTTTCTCCTAATGTCCCAAATCAAGCTCCTGTACCGTACCAAGACATTTGGTTCATACAATGACAAAAAAGCAATAGATTACAGCTGGGAAAACAAAGAACTTTCAAGTGACCATATATATATACACACTTACTTGCCCATTCCACCAGTGCAGATCAAGGGTTTTGAAGGCACCATGGCGAATGAGAGTAAGTTTGGTTGACAGATTGCTGGCGTAGCAACTTTCCGCATGGTCCTTAAATCGATTGTCACTACAGAGGATCCAGAGGCTACATAAAGCAACGATTCGTTGCACTTCATATCAACAGGTGCACCACCAGGCACAGAAACCATCCCCAAACAGCAGGAAGAACGAGCAGCAGATGATGTAGTGGTATCCCAGAGCCTAACCTATTACATTTTACAAGTACCACGATAGTCACTTTTTCACGACTTTGAATCAAGAAAATTCAAGGCACCCGGGTAATAAGAAGTGAATACAAACCACTAGTAGGTTACCTTAGAATCTTTTGAGATGCTAACCAAGAGGGAAGAATTGTGCCTGAAGAAACATGGGAGAGAAAAGGTATTAGTGTCCATAAAAAGAGTAAGCACCCGCAGATCAGCAGTCTAAGCATTCCAGAGGTGACACTACAACGTACTAATCAGCCACAACAAAGCATAAGACCGCACTCCTTGGAAGATACGAAGAAAAGTTAAAGACGGAAAAAAATGAGAGCATCTTCTGAAGTCGAGGTTTGAGTGGAGGAGCTATAGCAAGAAATGATCTCTTACTCTGCAACTGACATCTGTTTGATAGGTTTCTCATGCCCATACAAAGTAGCTTTTAAAGCATGCTGTCCACGTTTTCCACTTGAACCTATGGACCAAAAGCGAACCGTGCAATCTTCGCCACCACTTGCTAGTACTGTTGAACTGCCATCGCCGAGAAATCTATCCGTCAAGCACGAAACAGGCCCATTATGCCCTCTAAGACATCTTTGGCAAAAACCCTAAACCATGAAACCACAATGCTAATCCACATCAGGAAACTAAAGAATGGTGTATAAAACATCTCACAATGCAAATTATCATATTTAGCACATTATGTGCGATTGTGCGAGGCAAATAAGATCCTGAGCAACCAAAAAGTGGCAAATGAAAAGTAATTGATACAGTACCTTCCACCACACACGAATAGAATGGTCACAGCTTGAGGTTACCAACACTCTCTGCTTTCTTTGGGCCGCATTTCTCAAGTCAAGTGAAAACACTCTAGAAGGACAAGAGGAAACACAATACAAGGACGCAGTAAGTAAACAGAACTCTGAATAGTATTGAGATCGTACTGAAATAATCAGTCACCCAAATCTAAGTACGAGGCAATCCTCATAGGCTCACAGCATTTAAGATGGAGAACAAATCCATTATCCATGTGACCACTCACCTCATACAAGTGATTCTAGCTCCATGATCACTCAGTCTAGTTATGGAATCTCTGCCCCTTAGCAAACTACTTATGCCCATCATTTGAATGACATTACCCTGATCAATAACATGATCAGCCAGGAAAAACATTCAACTTCCAGTAGAAAAACTGGGAACCCATGAATGCAAAAGCACAATTACCTGAGAATAGATAATGTCGTCCTCATCCAATAGGATATGATCAAAAGGTTTGGCCTCTGTATAGAAGTCTGCAACCAAAGGATCAGCAAACCTGAACTGCTGCACAGCAGCCTTCCTGGCCAAATAAGCTTCCCTGACTCCCGAGTTATCCGACAAATTGGGCCTTACAACATGCGGCCATTGCTCTCTGCTTAAACCCAATCCAATTCAGCAACAGGAAATCAGATTTTAAGTTCATCCTACCGAAGACAATGACTCAAACGAAGAGAGATGCATAAACTTTTGAGGGCAGCAAGAGGGAAGGGAAAGGCGAACCTGAACAGGCGTTGCCACACGGAATCGGAATGGGCGACGCCATTAAGGTACTTGCAAGAGATGGAGAAGTTGGAAAGGTCGTGAAGAGTGAGGTAATTGGCGCAGTGAGCCAGCGAGTCCACGCTTAAGTCTGTAATCGTGGTTGAATTCGGCGGTGGAGGGGAAGGAGAAGGTTCGGCCATCTTCTTCTCCGATTAGGGACGTGCTACGCTTCTACTTTCTCCGAAGTCCGACACATAAAAGATAAGAAACTTTCTACCAGAAAAATAAAGATTAGAAACTACAAAGACTGTTTGCTAGGTTAGGGCCTAGCCGTTTTGTGCTTCGCCGGTCGGAACATTTGGGAACGGAGATTTCCTGACCCAGCGTCTCTGCCAACTGGGGAAAAGCCGAAAAGAGCGCCGCCGGTAGAAGGGACACCGTCGCTTTTGGCGGCAGAAATGCTCAAGCTTTACCGCCTAAAACCCATGTAACCCATTGGACTTCCAGTGGTACATATCATAACTTTTGCGTTTTCAACGATCCAGATCACAGCAAGTTTGTACCTTTTTGGGATGGTGATTTTCATGAGGTATTTTATCATGTTTAACCTGATGACTTGGATCTCTTTACATTCTTCCGATGGCAATTTTTTTTTTGGGGATTAACCAATGACAAATATAGAGTTTACCTTCATTTTCTACATCTAGGCAGAGCAGAAGTTCCACTTGTATCAAAACCAAATAACTGGCGGGAGGCCTACATTTTTATTTTCCTTCATTACAGCAAACAATGCAACCAAGCAGTCTCCTTCCAACAGCAAATACTAGGTATGAAAATTTTAAATTAAGTACAAGAAAGTTCCCCTCGCATGGATAAAGAAAACATAATAGATACTTGGTAAAAGCCTTCACTTTCGACACAGACCCGGCAGAAAGCTCGACCAAGTTCACGATCTGGAAGCAAGCAAGAAGGCACAATGTACAGCAGCAGCAGCAGCATTATGGCATAAAAGGAACCCAAAAACCAGTGGCTATGGAGATATAAGCCAGCGCCCCTTCTAACAGCAATCTAAAATATGAAGACGACACTGTCATGAACTCTCGACTTCTGGTTCTGAGCCACACATTCAGATATCCACATCAGGTTCCTGATCTCTTGCTCCCTCAATCTTATGTACGCGAAGAAAACCCCATAATGGAACTGCACAAGAATCATACCATAAAAATGAGTCACTGGGTGATTGATCATGAGCAACCAGGCATACACAAGATTGAGTAAACATCAAACCTGTTGCTCAAAAGACAAGCATAGCCTCTTCACCTCCTCCTCATAGAATGCTTTGTCAAGCAGCTGGCTTTCGCCATAGGACAACTTGGAGAATATGGCCTGATATGGAGGGTACTTTTCCATGACACCACGGACCTGTGAACCGGTAAGAAGCAGACAAATGATAAACTTGTACATAACACATGGACGCTCCTCTTTGAAAGATCAAACTCATATCCAACCTGATCCAAGTCCTCACACACAGCCAGTTCCTCGTGTCCATATGGATAACTGCAATACACAACCATCACGATGTCACTAAAAGGCATAGAGTAAGAAGATGTTTAACATCTGACAAAGAGAGACCATATCAGGATCTTACAGTAAGCCAAAATTAGAATACAGTTTCCTTCGGTCATCACGGGTAAGCTCAGTGCCAATGCTGAACAAAAGGAACAAAATGGATCAAGTAAGCAACATATTCGAAATTAGACGCACGCTACTGATACAGATAGGGAGAGAACCAATCATACCTATTTATGGAGATATTAACAGCTCTCCTATCCGCTTCAAATGCAAGGAGGTCAGACATAATCTCAGCTGTGGCACCACCAAGTTTCTGTAACACACGAAACTGATCTATTAGATACAACACATAAAATTTATAAAATAGGAGCGGAAATAACATTTGTAACATAATTCCTCAAGCTAACCTCACCTGGCAAAACCTGTAGAAATCCTCAAGATATGCCTTGTAAAGTGTATTCCTCATGATCTCAATGTTCATGTCATCCAAATCCTGGGAAAGCCAGAAGAGATTTGACAATAGTATGTCAACAAGAGTAGAAAATTGCATTGTCGAATCACTTCAACTGCAATGGTAGTTTACAGGGTTCAAATATAATTTGTACCCTTAGAACTAAGTTCATCCATTAAACAAGTTTGAGCTTTTCAGTTTCCAATAAGTAGAGGTAACTGTTGCTAGCTTTACAAAAATGGAAATGAACTATAACAGTCTGGGAGTTTAACATACAACTAAATGATCGTCACTAATTTAAAAGGGGAAAATGACCATATATGTAAGGATGTCAATGCTTCAAAGTTCAGAAAAGGGTACAGTTGGAACACGTCTTCAGTACCAACAGCCACCAATTTCTAAATTATTTAGAGATACTCCCCTTTCTGATAGTATCATGCCACCATTTTCAAAGGACTTAATCACGGTAATCACAGCATCAAAGATGTAAGATAAAAAAAGAAGATGCACGTACCATTCAAGTCATTTTGTTTGCCTCAAGATATAAGGTACGGGAAACACATAGGAAGAACATACCTCTGATGTGATGCACTCAGAGAAGTATGGAGCCAATGGTGTGTCAACCAGCACTAGTCGGTAAAGTTCTCTCATGTTGTGGGCAACAGCCAGAGTAGCAATGCTGAAAGGATTCCACATTAAGTAGTGAGAAACTATTAAAAAAAACACCACCAACATCGGAGAAACAAGAATGAATAGGTCAGATACCTGTCGAACATGCCAAGAGGATGGCATTTCTCCAACAGCTCTTGGACATCTCTCTCATGCAAAGTTCCAGTCACAATCAAAACAACGTTGTCTATCATGTGGCCATATCTGTTGAAGTGAGCAAAGGATTAATCTTTATTTCCAATCATATCTATTAAAAACAAAAAAACAGAGCACAAGACAGAAGTCCATTTTCATATGCAAGCCACCATCCTACGAAGAAAAATAAATGTAAACATAACGGGGGAAACAAAAAAGAGCATTTCCCAAAACCAATTTCGACATACGTGCAATACTCTAGGAAGGTTGATAAAGGCTCCGTAGCTTGGCATAACATATGCTTGTATTCATCAACAAGTTTAAGGGTGCATTTCTCCACAATAGTTGTGGTATGCAAGGGGGAAGGCTCTGCAAACAAATAACAAAAGTCAGAATATCACAGCAACAGAAGCTTCGGAGCTGTAAAACAAAAGAAAACAGAAATTTGGAGCTCGAGACAAACTTAATACATTGACAAATATGACACAGTGGGCACTGAACGCAATAAGGCAGGAGAAAACATGGTTGACGAACAATAATGATACAATAGGAATGATCTCTTATTCTGTTCTGCTCCAACCTTACTAGCGAAAGTGGAGAACACAATAGGAATGATCCCTTCGTTAGACATACAGGTTTGAATTAAAGATGAGGTGCTATCCGACGCGAAGTAGATCATGCTCAAGAAATCACCTCAAGTTCAAAACAGTATCAAACTAGCTCAAAATCCAGAATTCTCAAACTAAAATGAAGGGCGTTCTGTAGTTAGGCAGAGAATCGAGGAAAAATCATAAGTAACTAAGAATACTGAAGCTACAGGGACGACGTATCTCACTCTCACGCAGGCTCAAACAGAAAGTCCATAACTTCCAATCCAAGCACTGATTCACCGACATCACAATTTTTCAGTCAGCTAAGAGAGAGAAGGGGCAATTCAGCTTCGCAGCAACACAAGATTCAGAATTCGAGTACACATCCAGCGACCTAACTAATAACCAGCCAAAGGAAGCGCACACAAGATCCAAAATTTCCACTCTCCCATCTCTGATTCCCAACACCAACGAACTGAAGCCATGATCGTTGCCAATCGCCACAGTATCGTGTTAGAAAGAGAGAGAAAAGGAACGCACCGTTCTGAAGATAGGGCCCGTACTCGGTTGCAGAGAGGTGCATCTTGATGTCATCCAGCGTCTCGCACTGGCAGAGATTGTTGTAATCAGCGGCGGTGAGAAGCCCCGATCTGTGGCCCCTGACGATGGCTTCCAGGTAGCCACCGTGAATGTTGAAGGTGAGTGCCTCGAATCCGTACATTTTTTGGGGGAAGCTGACAACTTTCTAATATCCGGGGATCTGAAGAAGAACCAGTGGCTCCCCTCCGAAGGAAAAACCCTACCGTCGATGGGAAGCAGCGAAGGCCAGGGGGGCTGGCGAGGAGGAAGAAGATGGGCGAAATCTGTTGAAGTCTGTGTGTGATTGAATTTCTCCCTGCTACGATCACAAATCAGATGGAAACTTTTTGTGATCTGTTCCTCCAGTTTTGCCAATTGATTTTTAGTTTTCAATTTATTTTGTGTATAGTACAGATTTGTCCACGTTCCATCGGAACCCCATAGACAGCTGTTTGTTATTATAGAGTGAATTGTAAAATTGAAACATACATTCCATTGTCGTCCAGCGGTTAGGATATCTGGCTTTCACCCAGGAGACCCGGGTTCGATTCCCGGCAATGGAACTTTTTTTATTTCTGTCCTCTGCATTTGCTTTATTTATTTGTTGGGAGTAGGATGTTCTCCATTTGACAAGAGTTCGAGCTTTTTAATCCTTTTTATAATGGCATGGTAATGATCATTGCTTGCTGAATCTGAAAATTCTTAGTAACTTTAATGTGTTGGCGTTGGTCAATTTATTTGTTGATCAGATTATCTGTATTTAGTACAAATCATTTCAAGTGGCTTTTGTGTCTTGAGTAACATCTTGTAATGTAGAACAATGGTGATGCTACATATCCGATTTTTTCAAAGAAAAAGCACGATACAACTACATATTTCTTTGAAATTATCATTTTGCCTTTGAGGTATGATATAGAGTTTATCTTGGTGAAGGATCAATATGCATAGAATTCTTAACGACAAGCGCAATGACATATCTTTCTTTTGACAGTACGAGTGTACTGATTGATCTTTTACTCGGTATATCTTTTTAGAGTTTGTAGAATACTGGAGTTTAGTACAATTTTTCAAAGTAAAGGTTGAGATCATTCTCCTTCACCCTTGGGGCCTCAACCCAACTATTTTTTATCAACTTGTGCACCAAGTAGTTCCATCACAAATCTAATAGTCGAGAATCGAGATTCATGTAAAAAGAGCTAACATTGTGTACTCGAGCACACACGAGAAGAAGAAGAATAAAGTAAACAAGAAGGAGAATGATCTCAACCTTTACTTTGAAAAATTGTACTAAACTCCAGTATTCCAAGTAGTTCCATCACAAATCTAATAGTCGAGAATCGAGATTCATGTAAAAAGAGCTAACATTGTGTATTCGAGCACACACGAGAAGAAGAATAAAGTAAACAAGAAGGAGAAGAGACTCGTTCTCCTCTCCTTCACATTCACCTTATTGAATCTAGTCATTCTTTAATACAGTTTGTGAAGTTTTTGTGAAATACTCTTTGTATTGTATAATTGAGGTCAGGGCAATCATTCTTTGTAGAGAGCTAATATGCATATTATGTGTTTGGAGGCAAGAGTTTATTAAATTTTGTGGAATATGTCAAAAAGTAACCA